CCCCATAGAAATAACCAGTTATAACTGGTAGCCATGGCCATAACTGTGGGTTTGACTGAAAGAACATGGTACCGAAAAATCCGGCGGTTGATCATGTTCCCTTTTAACGTAGCCATAGCTGGGGGGGAGATTTTTGCCCATTTTCCAAGCCAAAAATGTCGTCAGCTGCATCCAACATTTATCCTGCAAATGACTGAAACATCTAAAGTCTACATGGAATGTGATATGCCAACATTTGGTCTCGTCTGCCAAAATCCCCTGGTTCATCATCATGTTCTCTATTAAAAATACTATTTTCGGGGTCAATTTCCGTTTTCCAGGACATTTACCCATGGGTATATTAATATAAACAGATACCATAAGCCTCCCATTATTCCCTTCTTGATCCCCAGGAAACGACATGCCCAGCCTCCCTTTCATTCTAAGTCTCAGCTGATTACAGCGTCGAATTTTCTCTTCCAAGCCCAGTGCGAAGTGTAAGGGGGCCTGGTTCCTCGGAAAGCAGGACGAAAAGTTCAATCACCTTGAAAAGGGCGCTATACAACCCCATCAAGAAATGGTAAAAATGAGAATAGAATGAACATATTAATATGACGGTAGAATATAATACATCCAGATGCCCATAGAATGTTTTCATATTGACGGAATGATGAAAAGCATCACGTGGGATGCATTCACCACTCCATCCAGGGATATCAATCCACGTGTTTTCTCTTCAGATTGGACATGTACCTCTGGTAAACTGTTACATGTTGCTATGGAAAATGACCATTTTTACGAGGTAAATCATCGATTTCTATGTGCCATTTATACAATGGCTAACTGTATCAAATTACCAGAGGGTAATGGCAGAAGGGATATTAATAATGGTATAATATAATACCAACGAATAACCCATTATATATAATGGTATTATGTTGGTATTCTACCATTTGATTTTCGTATTACACCATTTGATGGTATACTCCCAAATAATGGAATAGCCATTGTTTTTTTGTTTCGGAGAAAAAAGGGGCTGTATCGATTCATGAGCTAGGGATACCACCATGTCTTGCCTGGATCTGAACATCGAAAATGGGGGAGATTTAAACCACAAACATTGAGATATCTATACAATGTGGGGCCCCTAGTTGTAAGTTGGTTTATAAACCCCATTATATAACTATAGATAGATATTATATCTGCCATAAACCATACTTAACCTAGTTATAAACCAACTTAGCTCTCTAGGGGGCCCCACATTGTAGCATTCCATAGCAAAGTTGATGTCAGTTCGTCTTACAAGGGTGGCATCCACATTTTTTGATAAAACGGTTCCATATTTCTTCGTGGACCTTGGACTCCCCATATCCATGGGTTAAGAACGCCACAATTTTGTTTGCAGCAAAGTCTCTTTGATAAAAAACTCTTGACTGTTGATAAAATGCCGAATGTATATATATATTATTTTATTATAATATATATATATATACATTCCGCTGTTTGATTAATGGCCGGTAATTGCCACATTGTTGCTGCTTTTTTGTCGCGTTGCCAGTGAACATCTACTGGCACAGTTCCGATGGTCGAATCGGCCAAGGCTCCCCTTTTCCCAAAGATCTGCCCATGTCTTTGATGGTGCCCCCCAGTTGTGTTTGTCGGTTTATAAACCATAGTAACTGTAGATGTAACTAGCATAAACAACCATAAACCCAAGTGAAATTGAACTTATATATAAACTAACTTAGCGATTGCGAATTGGGGCACCACCTTGTAATCCAGCACGTTCATTGGACTTCTAGTCCCACATTCCCCATGGATCCATGGCCACTGTCTGAGAAGGTACGGCCGACATCCCCTAAATCATACCCCAGTCGTACTTCCTAAGAAGGTACTTGGATCCATAGGGATTGTTGGTTGCATCATTTTTCTTGCCGGTGAAGGAGATTGTGTCCGTCATCTGAGTAATCCAATCGCCAAAAATGAAACCAACTACAGTGAAATGTATTCATAGGCTATATTGGCTATATTGGATCTGTAATCAAATATGTACATATATATTAATAAAACATATTTGATCTTAAAATCCCATTATACACCTATATACATATATGTATATACGCATGTTGTTTTATCAATTCTTCGCTCAATGTTTATGGCTAACTTCAAGGTCCCTGAACCTCTCACCTCATGTGTATACCTCCAAATTCCACCAGTTTAATCATCATAAATCCCATCAACATGGTCATCATTTGCAATAACCAATTCCAAACCCATACTTAAATTACCGTGATGGTTTAATTCTGAGATCAACCTTAATATTGCTAAATATAACTTTAAAATTGCCATAACATGGCCAATCTGCCAGATACACTGCAAAAAAACAAAATCTTAGTGAATCCCAAAACACCCATGGTCTTAGATAATCTATCTATCTTAGATTCTTAGATAATCCCAATGGTCTTTACACTGCTGGTGAACGTAGATAATCCCATTGATACCTAGAATTACCACACACCCAAGGATTCCATATCCTGAAAACCAACCCTTCGCTTGGAAAATAGTCTTCCAAGTTGGCAGGGTCCATATTAATTTAAAATGGCGCCATAAGTTCGGAAGGTTCACAAATGGCAATGATTCCCAACTGCCAAAAATGAACCGAACTGCAATTCCCAACGGTGATGGCAACTTATGGCAAAACGGTTCACTTATGTCAAGTTCGGAATATAGTAAATCTATATAGTTAATATAATATATATATATATTATATATATAACTATATTTATTAGTATATAAAGGTTCACCTCCTTTTTGTTTGCGACCCAAATGATTCCGTCACCGAAGTGCATCGCCAGCACCAGCAGCTTCGCCGTTGGCATTGCCTCCCGGAGATTCTCAGCGAAGCGTCGCAGATTCGCCACGGGCACCTTGCGGTCGTGGCGCAGTTCGACAACTGACGAAGACCGTTTGGCTATTATGAATGGCTATAAATGGCCCGTTTAAGCAGAAAAACAGGGGGTATAATTAGTATAAATTGATGGGTGAAACTACGCCAATCCATCATGAATCAACTATCAATCATCATTGTTCATGGTTCAACGGGTAAATCAACTATAAAAGGCCATGTTCAATAGCTATTTTGACATAACCAGAGGCTATTTTTCATCATTTTTCATCATGTTTCATAATTTTTCATCATTTTTCATCATTTTCAATTTTTTTTCATCATTTTTCATCATTATTCATCATTTTTCATGGTTCAATCGTGTTCCACCCCGTTTTTGCGTGGTGAGTTGCAACGTCTCTTGGGGTCTGAAAATTTAGGTCTCCGTCACCTCCACCTCCGCGCCGAAGTGGAGATCGTTGATGCCGCAGTAGTAGACCACCTGGAAGGTGGTGATCCATAGCGAATGGTTGGTGGGTGACCTACCCCTAATGGTTAGTCCAATGGTTAGTCCAATGGCCCATCTAATATCCATTAATATTCATTATATAATGGGATAGATCATGATATATCTACTATATAATTACTGGTTGGTGGTTGACCTACCCCAACATGAATATTGGTTTATCTATGGTTAATAGTGGTTAATAATGGTTCATAATGGTTAATCTATGGTTAATCTATATGGTTTATCTATAATTAATCTATCTGGTTGGTGGTGAAACAACCCCTCTGAAGAATGATGGAGTGAAAGTCAGTTGGGATGATGACATTCCCAATATATGTAAAAAAAAGAAAATGATTGAAACCATCAACCAGGCTAAGTCGGTTTCCACTATAAATAACTTGGGTTCAAGGTAGATATATTTATATAATATCTATACTTAAGGAGATTTGTAGGGCACCACCAAACCTGAAAAGAAAACACAAAATGTCAAGCCTTGCTGGGGGAACTTGACCTGTGCCCATCGTTTCAGTGACTTTACTTACAATACTAACAATATTCAGAATTTATATGAATTTATCGTAGTTTGATGTGTTGTTTCGATTTCTTGGGCGCTAAAAATAATAACTTATATACTGTACACCAAGCAAAGCTTGTATGTTAAAGTGTTTTACCATCAAGAGATGGACAGCGGTCAGCTTTCTTGTATAGTGAAAAAATACAAACAACAATTCGGATTGGATTCACAATCTATACAGTAGGAATCTAGCCGATTCCATGGCAGTATCCCAGGTCAACTGATGTTTTTGTCAGGACCAAGTGACTTTTGACGTTTGATGTACTACAACCTTTCAAACCCGATCAATATGGGTGCTTATGAAATTTGGAAGCAACCCCCAAAAAGATTGAAAGGTATACCCTCTGGTTATGTCAAAATAGCTATTGGAAATGGCCATTTATAGTTGATTTACCCAGTAAAAATGGTGATTTCCCATAGTATTTTGTATGTTTACCAGAGGGCAAATCTGTTATTTATTCATGGGGATTTGACTCTTCCATCTCTTTGGTGGTCTGACTGTCCCAAGGCACCATTGCTTTCCCCTCTCGGAGCCAGGGACATCAGGGACGAGGCACCAAACGTGGGGAATGCTTCAGCACCAACTTGGGCATAAATTCCTCAAGAAACAGCAGCATCCTAGAGAAAACCATGGCTTGTTGGTGGTTGAGCCACCTACCCCTCTGAAAAATGATGGAGTGAAAGTCAGTTGGGATGATGACATTCCCAACTGAATGGAAATATAAAATTCATGTTCCAAACCACCAACGAGATGGGTTTTCATGTTTTTTTTCAGTATCGTTATTCAAGAAATACTTGACGGTCAACTCCTAGAAATGATTTGAAGATTTCCAGACAACCCCGATATTAGGGAGCAACAAAAGAACGGCTTCTGGCAACATTCCTATCGACCAGACCGTGAAACATCCAGAAGCAGGGGAGCATGCTGACTTCACAGGATCTATAGATCAAAAGTTGAGTGAATTTCCAATCAGTTACTTGGTGGCTCATCCCACTTAGTAAGTAGGTGATAACCCTAGTTGTAAGTGGATTAACCCTACTTGTCCCACTTATAACTAGGGAAAGAACCCACTTAGTAAGCGTTGATGAGCCACCAAGTAGTTATAAAGAAAACACTCTTTCTGTTTTTCACAGTTTATGAGACGTTTACATGTTTAAGTATCGTTTACCCATCATTCTGTTTCTATCACGATTAAGTAATTTGGTTAAAACAATCATCAACCATTCCCAAATTCACCATTTTCATGGGTGGTATCTTTACGATCAACTCCCACCATTTGCCCCGCTTCTGGAAGAGTTTGACGGGGTCATTATCATCATTATCATCAACATCATTATCATCATCAGCAACATCAACAGCATCAACAACATCATTGGTACGACCACCGTCTTCTTCTAACAGAATAGGTCGATGGAGCCTGGCCGAGGGAACGTTAACATCCCCACCCCACTCTATTCGACCCCGCGCCATCTACCCCATGCAAACTGTGGGGCAAATGGTGGGCGTTGCGTCTATCTTTACCATCCAAACATGGAGGTTTTATGCAAGTGTTTTCACCACATAGAACAGTGACTTCACGGATTTCCAGTGGAGGTTTCACGGGCCATTTTTCAGATTTTGATCTGTCGAGACGGAGTTCGTGGTTCAGCCACACAATAATAGCTCTCAACACTTATAACTAGCTTATAATAATGATGTATATATATATATATATTTATACATATTTAACCAACCAGTTGCAGGACTTATAATCCTATTTAAGGCTCCTTTTTCAAGGGCCATAAGTGCACTCATGTTTCCCCCGCAATCCGCATGGTACTTCCGCTGCCAGTGACCAACAAATCTTTGGAGCGCGCGCCACCGAATCCACAGTTCAAGGGCTCGAAGGGCGCCAAATCCTCCTGGGAAGCGAGGATTTGAGCAGGTCTCCGCTAAAAACCCTTCGAAACCAGTTTTACCCATGAAAATGCAGTGCTGGCCCAAAAACACTTCAGCCTTGGGATTATGAATCCACTAAGATGAAATATCTCAGGATAAGCCAGCTGCCAGCTTTCTAACTGTTAAGCTATATATATATTATCTATATATCAATGGGAATTTCAGGATCCTAAAATGGAGGTACTGTACGTTAGTACCATATATTTGACCATATTTTGAGGGGATATTCCCCAAAAATTAGGCCTTAAACAAAGGCCTTATATATGGTAGGTAGTTAACATTCGTTGGTCAAGTCCTTAGACAACCACAACCTGCGCCCCCTCTAAAAGGCCTTAAATCTTGACCGGTCTTGAGTGATTCCCTTGGAACAAACAACACTTTTGGAAGAGGGTAGGACATGGGAAATGGAAAAAACATGTGTATTTTTTTATTTTTTCTATGGTATATTTAGGATATATATCATACTATTCTATGGCAAAGTATGTAATTATTAAAAGGATATATATATATATATTCTATGGTGTTTTATGATGTTCTATGTATAATGATGTATAGTTCTGCCAGGAAAATACAGAAGTGGAAAGTTTAAGCACAGTTGCAATTGCTCAATTGCCATGTTGCTTAATTATTCACATGAAGTGAGAATGGCTCGAACAAACCCTAACCATAACAATGACCAATTTCATATCTGCGGGTCCCGAGTCTGACCTGTTCCCACAATGTGGGGCCCGCAAACGTTATGTTTGTGGGTTTATAACCCAATGTAACTACAGTTGTAACTACCATAAAACCTAGTGAAATTGAAAATTGTAGTTATTTGACCCAAATTACCTATCACTTATCAGCCATAAATCCCATGTAACTATAGGTATAACTAGCAGAAACCCTAGTGAAATTGTAGTCATTTGGCCCAACTTAGCTATCTTTTCTTCTCCACATTGCACCAACATTGTGCCACCACAAATCACAAATCGTCAAATAGTCAAAGCACTAAAGGGATGCAGGTCTTGAAGCTTTTCCACCAACTTACCCATGATATATACAGTATATATATATAAAGGTTTCCTAAAATGAAGGTACCCAACAATGGATGATTTATAATGGACAATCCTACTTCAATGGATGGCTTGGGGGTAAATGGATGGCTTATAATGGAAAATCCTACAAAAATGGACGATTCAGGACCCCCATTTTGGGAAACCTTCATATATAACCACCCAACAAACATGCTGTTCACTCCCCTAAAAAAATACCAAACCATGGGCAGGGGAGGTGTAAGGAGCTCTTGCAGTGCTCCTTCATGGTCTTCCACAGCGTAATTTTGGACCTTGGGTCTGTGGGAACAAACCATCCAAGAAGCGATTGCGGATTTTCCAGCAAACCATGTTCCGGTTGGTGGTTTCAAACCCTCTAAAAAATATGAAAGTCAGTTGGGATGATAAAATTCCCAATATATGGAAAAATAAAAAATGTTCCAAACCACCAACCAGATGTTGCATTCCCGGAGTCTCTTGATATTGACACAACAATGTGACTCACAGTGTGACTGAATATCACTTCCAAGCACAAAATAAGTGAAGGATAGTGAAGGATATGTCCAGTCCTGTCATCCGCAGGGCAATTTTCCAACATGAAACCGCCATGATCTGCTCGATGGCTTCAACCCCAGAAATCTCTTGCGGAAAACCACCAACTATAGCAACAAAAATCCTCCGAAATGCAACATTCTACCCATGAAAAAACAAAAAACACATGAGACCGAAACAAAAACTAAACAAGAATCATCTATGCCTTCCCCATTTGATGGATAAACATTCCAAATGTTTGCTGGTTACATCCTCATTTCACCATCTATGCCATGTCTAGTTCCAAACCAAAAAAAACTGACTGGATGTGTTTTGTGACGATTTTCTCTAACCATCATTTCATCATGGTTCACCTCGGTTTTTAGTGGTTAAGTCTCAGTTTTTGTGGTGAAATCCCCATTGTGTGTCATTCAAAACACCATCAAGGCCCCCCGATGTGGAGTTTTCAGTATGTCGACATTAATTTATATATATATATATTTGCCCTTTGAAATTTGACCTAAACCTTCCAAGTACTTTAAGAAACTGTGTTTTACCCCAGTAAGTTTGAATACATGTACCATCTTTTGGTGTATTTGGAGGGCCTAGGTACTTATACAACCATAGATACACCATAGATAAATGAGAACATTAGATAAACTTCACTTAACTATATAATTATATATATATATACGATGTGGGGCTTGCTAGTTATAAGTTAGTTTATAACCCCATCATAACTACGTATATTTCAAACTATGTATCATAAACCCTAGTGAACTTGTAGTTATAAACCAACTTAGCCAACTTAGCTATCAAACGGGGGCCCCACATTGTAAAATAAACTGCCGGTTTCTCCCCAAGCTTCGAGCTGAGATCCCCAACGACCCCACCAGGACCACTGCTGACGGCCCAGCGAGCTGCGCCGCGGTGCGCTCGGCAGCGACGGCCATGTGGCGGCCGTAACAACCTGAAGGGGGACACCACGTGGGGCCGGGGTTGGTGGAAGGGAGGTAACAAGGAGATATATAGATAGGGATTTCACCATGAAAAATTGAAGGAAATATGTCATTCCATTTATAACTCATAACATCTTATAACTGTTAGTTGGGCCATAAGTGTAGCACAAAAAAAAAACAAAACTTGTCTAGTTGTTTTGTGAAATGTTAAATATAACATTATAATATTGATATCAAGAGCATATATACATTGACATGTCCGTCCCTGCCAAAAGGTTGTTTTTTGTGATTTGTCCAGCAGTTTTGAGAAACACATTGGATCAGAAACAAGAGCTGCCAGCAGCCCGCAAAGGTCGAACAAAAAGATGCGTTGATCTTGGCCGGCTGCCACTCAAAATTCACATTTTGTTTGGGAACTTGAAGGAAGAACGGAGACCACCAGTGCCAGAACCCACGAATGTCTGAAACATATGCTCATATGCGTTTTTCTGGGCCTTCACTACACAGCGTGTAATAAGCAGATTTTGGAACCTGCTTGTTACACCCCAAGAAATTGCAAGAAATGAGGACTTGTCTTGGCAACAGAAATTTGTTTGCTAATCTATAATTACAACGTGCGGCCCCCAAGATAGCTAAGTTGGTTTATAAGTCCAATAACTATGGTTTATGGTATTTATATCTATAGTTACTGGGGCTTATAAACCAACAAACATCACTGGGGGGCCTCACATTGTACCCAAATCAGGGAGAAAAAATGAATAACCCCAATACTAAACCAATGATTCTGGGGATTGGATCATCATTCCAAGGCGTGGCCGTCACCGCTCAAAAGGGGGTCCTTTATTAGTTTGGTCACCCAAAAACAACTCAATGATCCCAAACAGCAACAATTACCTCGGTATACATGTCGACAGGATTTCTTGCATCTGTGGGATCTTGGGGTATTTTCATGCATTTTAGATTGTGATAAGCAGATAAACCTCACAGTACGTGAGCTACCTGAGCAATCTGCTTCTCTGCTGGCAGTGGCATTTTCCTCCTTGTTGACAGGACCTTGTTGACAGCACATTGTATATCACCATAACTTATAGTTAGCCCCATAACTAAAGATATATCTACAATGCGGGGCCCGCTAGTTGTAAGTTGGTTTATAACCCCATCTAACTATAGTTATAACTACCATAAACCCTGGTTACTGTAGTTATAAAGCAACTTAGCTATCTGGGGGGCCCCACCTTGTACCATAAAATGTTATATTGAAATTAGATGTAACTATCAATTGCCATATTTACCCATTGAATCTGGCTTAAGTATGATTCAATTCACTCACCTGAAGCTGAATAACACGAATCTCTTGAATATGAGAAATGCATTGATGATGTTTCCCCTTGACGGCCATCATTTATGACATAAACAGAACAACATCTGCAGTTATGGCCCAACTAACAGTCATAAATGGAATGACATCATTCCATATCATTCCTATAACTAGTTGGATATATATCATGAAACAAGCCCAAAAACTAAGTGTTAGTTGGGCCATAATACTGTATATTATCACAATTTCCCGTCATTTCCCTATCATTTCCCATTGATGGCCATAACTGTACCCTCAAGTGACCTCTGACCCATAAAAAAACACTCCAAGATCCAGCCTTCACATAGCCGTGCCCACGCGAAGAACAGCTGCATGGCCCATGCTTTCAGCTGCTTCACAGCACACATGGTGCGAATCGTGCAGTGACCAGCCCCAAATGATTAAAAACACAAGATAAAACGGTGCTCCTTGATCTGATCAATCGAAGATCGCCTGTCATCCTGGTACTTCTTTCAAAGCATCAGCAAGTTCATGCTCGCCCGTGGGACCGCGACGGGCGACGCGCATGCTATGCTCAAGGAGGCAACAGAATGTGTTTGTATTTGTTTGCGCAGCCTTTGTGCGTGAGCTAAAACAGCACGCAGCGGTAATGAAATTTTGAACAGGGTAAAACATTGTAAATCCGCTTAAAACGGAGGTAAAGCAAAGGTAAAACCAGGAAACATTGGGCTTTGACTGGCAGACATGGTGATTTTGACCAGCCGAAATGGTGATCTAATGATGAACAATTGTGATTTACCAACCAAACAGTGGAAGTTTACCACCCTAATTACAGTAGAAGGATGTCACGCCACCAGGGCAAACACAAAAGTTGTGCTAGGCCTGCTCGTATCTGACTGCTGTCATGAGTTGTGGCAGCCTCACTAAGTGCTTGATGGTGTATTCAAAGTAATTATCGTGATAACACGACGTTGGGACATTGTATCAACATTCATATATACTGTGCCGAGCATACAAAATTGAGCCTCATCTGCTGTGTTGCAGGCAGTCAAGACCCAAAACGGCACAGCAAGCAACTGGCGGGGTAGTGGTTTCGCACTGGAGAGAACAAACAACTGACTGGGGAACAAAAATTGGATGAAACAATGGTCCTAGCAAGTCCCAGCTGTTGACTCATCCTATGCCTCCACAAGATCAAAAATCGTCCAACTACATGGCATCTGCAGATAGGAAATAGTTACAGTACATCAAATTGGGATTATATAGCTGGTTGGTGGTTTCAACCCCTCTGAAAAATATGAGTTCATCAGCTGGGGTTATGACATTCCCAACTGAATGGAAAGTCATAAAATTCCATGGTTCCAAACCACCAACATTAGATAGGGATTTAGGAAACAGCAGGACCAAACAATCGTCCAAACATTGGTAAATCGCGCATAGAGAAACCAATGGTTTCATGGTACCTGGTACGGAAATACATTGGATTCACGGACCCTAACCCCAGACATTTCACAAAATATGGTGCCCCATAGTTGGCCAACTTGGTAAACATCACCAGCTTAACTAGGGTCTATGGCGGATACACTCTGGTTATGTCAAAATAGCTATTGAAAATTGACATTTATAGTTGATTTATCCATAAAACATGGTGATTTTCCATAGTTATGTTAGTTTACCAGAGGGTATATCACCATTAATCACAATAAATTATCATAAATCATCATTCTTTACCACTATTAATATCTGTTACGTTAGTTTACCAGAGGGTATATCTATACTATGCTGTTGTCTATGGCCTTGCTGGTCAATCAACAAACATAGCTGGGCTCCTCCGCTGCGCCGGCATCCAAGGCCCTCACGTTGATGTACCACTCATGGGCAGCATCAGCTGACACATTTGGGCTCACCTGCGGGGGTGGTTTTTCAGGTGCTACAGAAATCCCAAGGGGTCACCAAATCCAGCTGGTTGGTGGTTTCAACCTACTCCTCTGAAAAATATGAGGGAACGTCAGTTGGGATGGTGACATTCCATTCTAACTGAATGGAAAAATCATAAAATTCCATGGTTCCAAACCACCAACATATCCAGGATGTTAGTTCTCTGATGTGTTCCAACTTTTTCCAATCAACCTTTGCAAAAATCCAACTTTTCAGCATCAGGAAAAATTAGACCCAACCCAAGCACCCATGGATTTTACGAGATCATAACGGGTATATATATATGGTTGGTGGTTTCAACCCCTCTGAACAATATTAGTCAGTTGGGATTATTGTTCCCAATGTATGGAAAATAAAAAAATGATTGAAACCACCAACCAGTATATATATATATATATTACCCCAAGCCAAGTGATGTGCCATATATTACCCCATTGTTCGGGCCATACCTGGAGGGTCTAGGTAGTTTGCTCCAACAAAAGTTGACAAACGGCTCGTTGTCGGTCGCCTGCACTTGTCCCTTTCCGCTGGCATTTTGGGCAGCAAAAACGGCAAAAAACTCCGTGACCTGGGCTGTAAAAAGCGTACATTTTAGATGTAGGCAACCTGGGTGTAGCTGGGTACACTTAATGATTTTGTGCTTCTATGGGGCTATACATTCTGTGACTGACTTATTACTGGCATTTTGGGCCGTAACTGTAGGCGTGTCTAAACATGGATAGGATTGGAGAATAAATACGACGAATCCGTCTCATCAAAGTCATGGCGTGATATTGGATAGAAAATACAGACAAAGAGTGTGATTGGGCAGTCAATATTAAACATGGGTATGACTCGATGGTAAATGTCTAAAGACATTTGATGATAAACAAAAAATCGTGGGTATGATTGTCAATGATTGGATGGTAAATATCTTAAGATACCGGACAGAAAACCAACACTGGGTATGTTTGACGGACAATGAACATATACACTAGATTAGCCGCTAAGTTTTCAAATTACTGGATACAGTCGTCATTAACTGCCCATCCCAAGATGCTTAAACCATGTTGCACGTTCAATTTTCATGTGGCAAACTGAGTAGTAAACCATCCCGGACTATCCCCAATGATACGATACATGTGTAATAAAATAATCATCACCAATTGGTGGGTTTATCGTGGTTTATATATACATATATATTATTATACATATATATATATACTGCATGTAATATGTATATATATATATATTGTTGTGGCTCAATTAATTTCAAAGTATTCTTCAAAGATTTCTCAGATTTTCGCCATGAATCAAGATCCAGTTGGGTTGTGATTGGGTCAGCCCAATCATAAACAATCCTAACTTGGATATGAAAAACACCCGTTCGAATTGATGTTGACTGACCCTCTTTTCACAAACATTGATCCAGTTACAACACACTAGGTACAATGTATACATATATATGTATGTATGTATAATGTATATATTATATATGTTATATATGTTATTTTATACATCAAAATGATGGTGAAAAACCACTATTTGGGTTAGGCTGAAACTAGGGGTATACCGAATGTATTAGCAAGTCAAATGGAGAAACTTGTGATCAACCATCAATTTTTGGGGTACAATATTTTCAGACGAACCGATTTGTCAATAGGAAAAACTATAACTATAGATATACACACATATATATATATATATAACTATGGAAAATTATAGAATGTATATATATATATCTGGTTGGTGGTTTCAACCCCTCTGAAACAAATATTGGTCAGCTGGGATTATTCTTCCCAATATAGGGGAAAATGTTTCAAACCAACAACCATATATATATGTATATATATATATGTATTCATTTATATATTATATATACACCAAATTATCTATATTATCTATATAATATCAGGGTGGTAGGATCACCTCCAAGTTGGCCCCCGTAGTTATGTTTTGTTGGTTTATAAAACCCATGAACTAGTTCGATACACCTACCATCAACATCCATAAACCAAGACTTCGCCTAGCTACAAACCAACTTATATAATTAGCTATCATAAATCAGCTATAAATCCCATGAATCCCCAATTTTTCTTGGTTAAATGTCATAAATCAGGCGTATAAATCGCAGTCACCCCCCACTGTTTCCGGGTGAAACCATCGCTGAGCTTCCCCACCGCCATGGATCCAGGGCTCCAAGTCACGCGCCCCGCAATCTTGCCAAAGAGGCCATCCTCGTCACAAATTGCCAGCAGGATCTGATCCAAGGTAAAAACAACACAAACAAGTTTATATTCTATATATATATATATATATGTAACAGCTAACTTGATGTAACAGCTAGCTTGTATTCTAACTTAAGTTTCACTTGGGTGGGGGATGAAACTATATGAAACTATAGCCTATATTTTCCTATTGGGTTGGTAACCAACTTATAACTTGTAGGGGGCCACCTTGTATCATACCCTATGGCCGTCTGGAGTATTTGGGTAATTTTTTTGGGGGGTGAAGTCTCTCAGGAAATATCCGGATCCATAAGGATACTATTAAATAATATGAACTGTCAAATCCAGGAACATCAAGAAAATATAGTATACATTAGTATACTATCCATTTAATATTTAATATAGTAGTGATAAAGTGGAACATCAAGAAAAAACTGCTCCATTTGAGGCGTCAAACGTACGGATTTCAGCAACAAACTGGCTGAAAAAATTGTTTGTATAATGGGGCTATCATGTGGATAATATATGATAATATAGCGTGTAACCCCCAAACATATGCATAAAAGAAATTCCGAAAGAAGTTGAAGTGATAAAGTATATATAGCAATATATATATACTTTCAACAATAATTCGGGGTTGCTATAAGTCAACATAAGGCATTGATCTGGGAAACATAGCATAGTGTGATTGGGAAATCCCTTACAATATGTGGATTATGATATGAATATCTTCAAAAAACCTGACAATATGGAAGATCAACGAATGTCATAGAATTATGATTGATCTGGCAAGTGTTGGGGACTCCATTGGGGACTACTACAGTGTTGGATAATCCTGTATATATAATATGCTGAGGATTACCGGACCATCATCAAAATCATGATTGTTTTTTTCGTTCGGATTTTCATATCATCGAATCCGGTAATCCGCAATATGTACAGGGTAGTATAACACACACGGAATTTCAAAAACCGGTGGTTTTATTTTGATAAATAATAACATAACAATAATTAATGGCCATAAGGTAAGTATATTCCACATTTCAGGACAAAACCCGTCGTCACTATCCCTTCCAAGGTGTCGAGGTACCCTCAAAAAACAAAGAAAAAGCCACAGCGAACTGTAACAGGTAGAAATTCAATGCGAATCCCCAACTTTTGGAATAGTGTGATGAACCCATTGATAAACCATCCCCAAGTCTACCAGACATGGTAGTATAAATCACCACCAATTGGAAACTTCTTACCCGGCAAATCCCTCAGTTTTTGTTGGTTGACTTCCTGTGTCCTAGGTCCTATGTTGGATATGTCAATCCCACCTTTGGAGACGGAGACGGATAAACCACAATTTGGGTCAGTCTAAATCAGCATGTTCAAGTGACTTTCCCACAGTTTCTGTCGCTTTAGAGTTGGACACCCCAAATGTGCGAACCCCCATGTTGGTCTATAGCTAGGTTTATACCAATACCTCCCCATCGCATCTAAGGAATTTGATGAACTTGGGGGCCATAGGACATCTAGAGCCATCCCATTTTCGCTGATCCCCTCTGAGAATGGCACCTCATCGCTGAATTGAATGGACAGCACTTGAGATTCAGAACTCGGCACCGCTGTGATCATTTCCTGCCGGTAAGGGGGTGCTATTGATCTTTGAAGGTCCAAGAAAACAGAGATGCTGATGGAACTTGAACGCACTTTAGATTGTAAAAAACCTGCATTTTTTGCTGGACAAGCAAATGTCAACACTTCATTGCTGCAGTTATTCTTTTGACCTCCGAAACAACAAACAGCTGTCATATTCAGTGGCAATCCGTAGCATTAAGCCGCAGATTGGGTCACCCAATTTTGTCATATTGTTGTCCCAAGGCTTCGCACATGGTGCACATAGACATCCTTGTGTCTTTGGTTTGTTGATTCATAATGATTCATAGACAGGTTTACCCTCCAACCAATAGATAGGTCCATGATGATAAATAAAAAACAAACCAGCATTGTTCTGGAGAGGACATTGCTTGCTCCCAACCAAAACCTCGCTATACAGGCGGGATTGCCTTTGTTGGTCCCATGTCATGTCATCCAAGTTCTGACTTCGTGTTTCATTGCATATGACACTCTCACCCAAAAGAAGTCTACGATAGAACCCCTTGAAGCAGAACACTCCTGTTCCGCCCAGTGATTTTGGAATCAGGTTGATTCCTCAAGCAGGGTGCTCACATTAACATGCTCCCGTGAAGTTTCACTGTTTTTTTCCAAACAAACGGCTCTTTAATCCGGCTGCATTTTCAGGACCTGAAGCAAACCTGGGATGAACCGAAGGTTTCAGGTGGTTTCTCGTGTCTTGCAACGGGACTTCCCACATGAAACTTGTGTTTCATCCGACCTTTTCCAGTGAAGATCCCTTCTGGCACAAGATTTGGGAATGCCCCAGCAATGTCGGAAACTCTGCAAGGATCTGCTCCCTCGATTCTCAAAGCTTCCATTGCTACATATAATTAGATCCCACCTTACTCTCCCAGACTTGCGTCATCTTGCTACGACGAATATGCGCCATCTTGGGTCAATGATCAATCACCGTCGCAAGAGCTGTCAAAGTTCGATACTCTGCCATGAAAACCTTGAACCACGAACGGCCACAGCAGTTCGTCCACGAGCGACGGCCAGGGAGAAGTTTCTTTCAGAGCTTGTTGTGGATCTGGCTCTGCCGATTGGTTTTCCCATAATGGGCCGCAAGTTGCTGGATTTGTTGGCCACTGCTCAACTGCCTCTGACTTCTCACGGCTTCTCAAAATGATCCATCTCTTGGAGTAGTGGATGTGGTTCCCAGTTCCTGTGGCGGGCAGGCTTTTGTGCTTCCTTGTGCTTCCGATGTCATAGGCTTTCACGCCTGCTTATATTATCTTACATTCTTAAGCTGATGTGAAATACCTCAATTGATGCATAGTCTTCGTGATGCAAAACATCATTCTGCAACAAGCACTTGGCACTTGATCGCTTGGACAATGCAGTACTGTCCAGTAACCCAGCAACCATACCAATCGAGTGGAAAACCCCTCACACCATGAAGGAAACAACCACTATACTTTACCCAGCAGTCTCTCGCGTAACCAAGGGATTTTCCCTTCTGATCCTTCTTGGCCTTTCTCAGGGCTTCAATCCAACCGCCCTTTCTCAGGGCTCCAACCCAACTCCTGAGAACAGAAATGGCTACACGATATTCATGCTTTTTGTGGACTGCAAAAAAAACAACAGATCAAACACATGGCAAAAAAAATACACAAATGAATATAATGGGTTGGGGACATCATATATAATGGTGGATACCATGATATAATTTAATATCATATGGTGGGATATGATTGGTGTGTTTCTCCAGATAATTGCCAGCTCACATGTTTAGCTTTGGACAAAACACAGTTGCTCTGAATGCAAACTTGCAGACACAGATGGTTGATTTTGTTCCACTCCATGCAGCTGTCTGTATTTTGGGGGCCTTTCCCAAGTCCCTTTTGCAGGGCCAAAGTTTGCTGAATTTTGTTGCCCTTGCTCAGGGCTAGTGGATGTGCCTTTTTTCAAAGCCGTCTTGGTTTGGTGCCCTCTCCCAAGGCTATGTTTGGTTTCCCTTTGCCTTTGCCTTTTACCAGTGACCAGCATGGCCACTTCCTGTTGTTGCTGCAAATGGGCTGCGGGCCATGCTTACTGCTGGGACTGTTCGTTTTGGGCTGCTTGCATCTTCTCTTCTTGTTCCTTTTGCCTTTTCATCAACCTGTTGTACCTACTTCGGCCCATTGCTGCAAGACTTTGAAGCTTGAGTTCCTCTGGGTCAGCTGATGTGCCTTGTTGTTCCCTGATGAGCTGAAGCCTTCTCCTTTCTTTTGATGAGCCGGAGGTGGTGGATGCCCTTTTGCAGGGCTGTGGGGATTGCCTTCTGGATTCCTCATTTCTCCACTGATTCCGTTGCTTCCATCCATCTCTTTCCCAATCATCACCATAGCTGTGATGTTACCAACCCTGGTTGTGCCACCACGTTTTTTCTGGTGTTACTGTCGTACTCTTTGTACCCCCAGCTGCTCCATTCACACTCACTCCAGCCATGATGGGGTTGGTCTTCCCAGGTTTCTGATGTCTGTGTTGCTTGGCTTTTGCGAAGCCACCTGGTGTGCTTCAAAACTGAAAGGCCCCAAACCCTATCTAACCTTGAGACCAAGGGGGATGTTTCACCCACAAAAAGATAAGGGAATTTAAAGAACTCAGAGCCCCAAAAGTGGGGAACTATAGAGGTCCGAAACAATCTGGAAATCTGGAAGTGTGAAAGGCCTGGGAAGATCTATGAACATATCTGCACTAAAGTGACATTCATCAACCATCCCAATTAGCCAGGTGACGTTGGTGACGTGGTGGAAGCGTTTGGTAGCTTCTCTGCCAGCTGCTGCCACTTCTCTGGTTCCACGTCTTCCCACGAGTCCGGAAGGTCTTCCATGGCTCTCCACCACGCGAGCTGAGACAGGGGCTTAGCTACCAACAAGAAACTGGAAAGATCACCCCAAATGCCTTGAGAAGTCTGCGGAAACACGCTGGGATGATCCCTCAACAACTGTTAAATTGTCCTAGCTTTGGACGGAATTCACGTCAAGTGAAACCAGGAGTCAGTGGGAAAACACAAAGTAAAACACTTACCCTCTGGAAAACGAACATAACATAACTATTGAAAATCACAATGTTTAATGGGTAAATCAACTATTTCTATGGGCCATGTTCAATAGCGAACTGTAACAGTCATTACCAAAGGGTACCTTTCGGCAATCAAACCTGACCGAACATCATCTGTAGCATGGGGATTGTCCAGTGAAATGGCGAAAGTCATGCTTTTGTCTATCTTTGTCTGTTCAGGTATCTCAAAATGTCAAGGTTGATCATGACTTTCCCCATGAAGGACTATAACTGGTTGGTGGTTGACCTACCCCTTCTGATAAATATGAACGTCAATTAGGATGATGACATTCCCAATATATGGAAAAATAAAATTTCCCAAACCACCAACCAGTTTGTCATGCTTTTGTCTATCTTTGTCTGTGATGTTCAGGTATCTCAAAATGTCAAGGTTGATCATGACTTTCCCAAGGACTATACTATACTCTTCGGTAATCAAACCTGGCACTGGAAAATCCACCCTTTATCATTTGCCCAGCGAGCGACACCTCCATGGCTAGTTCTGGGATTGTTCCCCATGTCTGACACCGAAGCGCGGGTCAATCCACACGTTCCAACATCGCCTGAATCTGCAACACCACAGGGTCCACTTGTTGCCCGTACCTTGGAGCAGTCCACAAAGTCGGGTTCTGCCAAATATAGCTGGGAATTACTGTAGGATGTTTATAGCTGGGAAAAAAACACATCCATGAATAGAGGGATTTTCTATTGCCATGTTTGATTACTGGAGGGTGAATGGATATAGTGACTATAGTGGGTCATCTATTGCTGGTAAGTCACTAACCAGCCGCGAAGTAGATCTATCCATCTATCTATCCATCTATAGATCAATCCCCCAGGGGCCGGCGCTGTGGATATACCGTAACCCATGACGGATCCATGGTGCTGCTATATATGGTGTGCCATGGATCCCATCAATATACCCCCTTTATGTTAGCATATATACCATCAATATACCCCATGGATCCTATGGGTAAGATACCTTATACCGATACCTTATGGGGCTATCAACAATGTGGCGATAGACGCATTGGAATGCGTTACTTCTTTCATCCAGTGACTGCTAAATCACCCCATAAAAACCGGTGGCACGATCCCTCACTCACAGGAAAATCCTGGCCACATCCTCCTATCGCATAGGAAAATTCAATAAAGATCAATTTGTGTGGAATAGACTGAATAGACTGTGAGAACCTGAGACCCACAATTCCAACAATCATCAACAATCGTTTGAAGACTCTTTTCTCTGGAGCTCTTTACAGCTACTTCGAGGTTTCTGCAAGGTTTCTGCAGTAAATGATCAACGCTGGATGTTGCTGGGGATGAACCGTCGTCCGGATGGCATTGAAAACATCAGCAATGCATGTTTGTTTAAATCATGAGTGTGTTTCAATCATTAGTTTTAGTTCGATTGACCAATGTTGCGATGTTGGTTCTAAATGGTTGGTCAACCAACTAGAACCAACACATGTTTGTTGCCATCGTTCCAGTTGTGAAGCCACAAGCTCTCAGGTCAGCAAAATCATCAATCTGTGGGTCCTAGGTTTCACCGCAAATCATAGGTGGCCAACAATGACCCTTTGTCTGTTCCATCAAACATTTATGATCTGTTTCTTTTGCCACCAGTCAAATTGGTTGAAACTATTAGCCTAACCATCCATGCAAATGGGAGATAAACATAGATAAACACGCTTAACAGATCTTAAAAGTAAACATATATGTATTTAAGCAGAAACCATTCTAAATTTGGAACATCATTTCCAAAAGAAAACAACTGGAACAACATTTTCACTGGGGCTTCCATTCTTTGGAACTTTTCCGGAAGTCGTCCCGTCCAGAAGTCGTCCGCTGAGCGGCGAGTTGTTCAAGTACGCCAACAAGAGATCTCGACTGTTCAGCTGGACGCCTGCTGGATGGCAGCCAGAGATAGCCATTGGGGCGCTAAGTCGGTGAACATAACTCCAAATTCACTAGGCTGTATGGTCATTGTAACATATTGTAGCTATAGTTCATGGGGGTTGTATAAAATGTTATAATCCAACTTGGTGATACAAATAACTGGGGGGCAGCAAATTGTGACCATCAACAAATGGAGGAAAATTGGGATTCAACTAACAAAAATAAGGATTTCTAGTGGATAATCTAAGTTGGGTGAACCAACAAGTATTGCTTCATGACATAAAATCTATATCCACCATGAATTGATTTTCAAACCCCAGTCTATTGAGTCTACTGAGTGATTTATGAAATCAAAATACCATGAATGATCAATAATTTTCGATCTCTGGGACTTAAACATTAAGTGAGGGATATACCTGACTTGTTCTGCCAACGACCTACTCGATGCTAATCCCCAAAATCCAGTCGTTAACCATCAGTATCTAGATTTTCTTGCGGCAAATTTAGTATCCATAAAGGTCAATAATATATAATTAAAATGTATATATATATATATATACATATATATATATACAAACATATAACTCTATGATTCATTCATGGGGCACCCAAAATTCAGTTTTTAATTCTGTTGGGATGGCAAATGATGGCAAATCTGTGGTGTAATTCCTCTGGACAAACGCAGCTCCTCCATACATGATTATGGACATGGAAAAAAAAGGTAAGCATTGTCACAAAAGAAATCATGGGGGCTGTATTTGGATCTGTGTATCTTACTGGAACATCCCAAAAATATTGCTTGGTATTGCTTGGTTTATGGGGAACCCTGTGTTTGACCCTGAAGCAGCAATCACACATCACCTTGATCCCCGTGCATGTTTTGACGGTTGAACCACACATAAATGATGGTAACATATCCATTCAAATAAAGCGTCCATTAAAAAAACATGTTCCGATACTTAAAATTCTCAATTCAAGTAATGGTTGGTGGTTGACCTACCCCTCTGAAAAATATGAGTTCGTCAGTTGGGATGATGACATTCCCAACTGAATGGACAAATAAAAAAAAGTTCCAAACCACAAACGACAAGACTATGGATAAACCCATTATAAGCATTAATCATTAATAACCCCATGAATAAACCATGGTTATTAACCCCATTACTTGGGGAGTGATTAATAAACCATGGTTATTCAAAAAAACTATTTTTTGGCGGTTTCCCCATAAAAATCATTGATAACCTCATGAATTGATGGTTATTAAACTATGGAAACCACCAAGGGACAGTATTTTCACCCCACATTTTCCCATGATCCCCCGCGGTGCCTGCGAGAACGAACTCCGTCTGCAAGGGTGCCACGGACCTGGGATCTGGGCAATGGGCAATCCGTGGAATCCGGTCCGTGGAATCCCTGGGGAATCCGTGGGGTGAAAGTAGGAAGAAATCACCAGAAATGGGGTGAACATAGCAATATATATAGTGAAATCTATGGATTATATAGGATTATATATGGATCCAGTGAAACTAGTGGTTAAAATTTATAATTCCCTGTGGATCCAGTTGTACCTTCTTAGGAAGTACGACTGGGGTATGATTTAGGGGGTGTCTTGTACCTTCTCAGACAGTATTTGGATCAATAGCTGGTTGGTGGTTTCAACCGTACACCTGCCCCTTTGACAAATGTTGGAGTTCGTCAGTTGGGATTATGACATTCCCAACGTATGGAAAAAACATGTTCCAAACCACCAACCAGATACTTAAAGTTGATGAAATGAACCAATGAAGTATATGATAATATATGGTAAATATTGGTTAATATGATTGTTAACCCAATTAGTTGAACCAATTAAGTAAATGATCAATTCATTGGTTAATTGATTATTGTTAAGCCAAGTGCTGAAATATGATCATTTAACCACACACATTTTTTGGTGATTGTAAAACGGGGATGACTATGATGAAATGTTTAACCATTTAGTATGGGTTAATTATACAACTTAACCGGATAATATAAGCCACATATTCCTACTTGTAAGTAAGAATTAATTAACTAATTATAATATTACAGTTATGGTCATTTATCAATTATAAGTACTTATAACCACATTTATAGAATGTATAATCCCATTTATAACCAGTTATGACTAATCAATGGCCATAACTGTAACCACTAGTTTCACTGGATCTTAACCCAGCTTTTCCCTAGATTACCCTGATGTCCCTACAAGGCGAGGTCTCCATAGCTAAGTTGATAACTTGGTTAACGAACTTGGGTTAGCCAGGGGGATATATATGATATAACGAACTCGTTTCATGGGGGGTCTCACCTTGTAAGTATATAGTTAAGTGGGGTTATAGTGAGTTGATGAGATTTATAACCCCACTTAACTTTATAACTTTATAATAACCCCTTGTAAGCTATAGTTCAGTGGAGTTATAATGATTTAGAGATCATTTACCTGAGATTTCCCACATGAAAAATGGGTCCCCAATTACTTGGATTTTGGTGTTTGGTGGCCAAAAAAAACAAAATAACAAACTATAGGTTCCCAGATGGTGGACAGGTAACCATTGGGAAATCAGAAATGAACTTAAGCAAACCTAGGAAAATGGCAAAGACTTGGGTATTATCTTGTGATCAGTTGGGTTGTGATGTGCTCAGGGGGAGATTTCCAACATCCAGAGATGGCATTTCCAGGTGCACCTGGGTTTGAAGGTATCCATTGCTGCCTAAAATGCACAGTCCAACTTTCAGGAAAGAGTTCCAAGCTGGTTTGAATGTTTCCAAAGATTACCAACATCCAGCACCAAGACTCTCCCCTGCAAATTGCGCAAGACTGCAAGACCATGCATTCCGTTTGGGTGGGTCAATTTTACGCACTTAACATATTGATGATCAAACATACCATGACTGTTTCAGTCATTTTCAGTCCATATTAAACTCAAAACCATCTAAACCCAAACTCTACCATATGAAACGCATTGAAACGCCCTATTTATGTTTCAGCCTAGACGATCCAAAATTATTTCTACCTGTATTATCCTATAACACCATCTGAGGAGCTTGGGAGTCAAGGGTGTTCCCGACACAACGTGGAAAATCACTGAAGCAACGCTCTTAAAGCTAAACAATCACCATTTTTAATGGAAAAAATATGCTTTCACAAATATATGTCATGTTTTGAAGGTTTCACAGGTCACACAACACAGTCTCCTACCTGCCGGGGACAGCGCCGCCCTGCGGCTACCAGTCTTGGTGCATCCGCACCACTGGACCACGTTTTCCTAGATGATTTTCCTAGAGAAACCATTGGTGTTCCATGCAAACATGTACACATTTTGGGGTAAATCACCATTAAGTCCCAGTAAATCACCATGAAATACCATTAAATCATCATTACATCCTGGTTGGTGGTTTCAATGCCCCTGAAAAATATGAGTTCGTCAGATTGGATCATCATCCCAACTATTGGGGAAAAATAAAATGCATGTTCCAAACCACCAACCAGCATCTTTCAACCCATCTGAAAAATATGAAAGTCAGTTGGGGTGATTATTCCCAATATATGGAAAACACCGTTAAATCATCATTACATTATCATTAATTCATCATTCAATCATCATTAAATCATCATTACATCCCATTAACATCAGGCGAATTCCTGAGTTTCAAGGCATGGCTGTTTTCGATGTCCGGGTTCCGCACCCCAGCCAGGTGGGTTGAGTGCTCGCACGGGTGGCCAAGTAGAAATCTGAGGCAGATCAGGTGGCTGAATTTGCTGGATGATACATATATATATATATAATTGTATATATGGTTGGTGGTTTTAACCATCTTGAAAAATATGCAAGTCAATGGGAAGGACTATCCCATATATTTTGAAAAATAAAAACTGTTTGAAACCACCAACCATATATATATATATATATGTATATGTATATATAATGATATACGATATGCTGAGCTGGAGATCTATTGAATTTTGATGATCTTTAAGGTGCATGTTGATTGATTTCAATGATATGATCTAACTTCAAAATTAACCCTAGTGGGTGTTGTTCTGTAACTACAGATTTAGATTCAGCCAATGGGGAACTGATGAGCTCTTGATATCAATGCATGGCCAAATTAAAACAAAACTGTAGTTTGTGCAAGAAGCCATCTCAAGATTGTCCCGACATATCAAATGATAGATACCTGATATGAGTACCTATTCCAGAAACCAAGCAAGAGTAGGGGAAGTTTGTTTCCTCAATTTATGGAAACGACAAACACTTTCAAGAAAACGCATCAGAAATTGTTGTCAGGAACATGACGGGAAGTATTGCTGCTTTTATCTCGAATCTAGACCCATAATCCCTCCTGTTATGACCATCAACGCAATGATCATATTGTCACCATCATCGTCACTGTCATTATCATCAACACCGAAGGTGGTTGTTTCGCACCATGGGACTGTTGATGCAACAACAACGACAACAACAACAAAAACAAAAACAAACACATCGCGCTCTCTCTCGCTCTCTCTGTATACGTATATGCATATGTGTATATATATATATATATTATAGCAATCCCCCAAAAAAATAGTTGGTGAATTCCTATTTAAATAGTGAGAAATCATTTTGTGTTCGGCATGTGGGGGGTTACTATACATTTATGTATAGATCAGTATATGTCACCGCTGCCCGAAACACAATCCAATCCCCTACAGTTATGGCCCTTTTAGCGCAAGTCACCTCATTTTTAAAGGTCAGTTATAACTAATCTCATTTATAGCCATAAAAATAGATGGCACAGTTTTAAGTACGCCACCCCATTCATGGTCACTTAGAATCGCGTTTCTGACTACAAGAATAGATTGTAAAGTTATAAGTAAGTCACCCCATTCATGGTCACTTAGAATCCCATATAGAAATAACCACAAACATCCTTGGTAAAGTTAAAACAACTGGTAAACATAATTGGTTTCTAGGGTTTTTTTAAGACCTTATCAGAAAGGCTATAATGCCAAAAAAGGCTATAATGCCAAAAAAGGCTATAATGCCAAAAAAAACTATAATGCCAAAAAAAGCTATAATGACAAAAAAGGCTATAATGACAAAAAAGGCTATAATGCCAAAAAAAGGCTATAATGCCAAAAAAAGGCTATAATGCCAAAAAATGCTATAATGCCAAAAAAGGCTATAATGCCAAAAAAGGCTATAATGCCAAAAACGGCGATATCATGCCAAAAAAGGCTATAATGCCAAAAAAAGGCTATAATGCCAAAAAAAAAGCTATAATGCCAAAAAGGTTATAATGCCAAAAAAGGCTATAATGCCAAAAAATGCTATAATGCCAAAAAAAGGCTATAATGCCAAAAAAGGCTATAATGCCAAAAAAGGCTACAATGCCAAAACAAGGCTATAATGCCAAAAAAAAACTACAATGCCAAAAACGGCTATAATGCAAAAAAGGCTATAATGCCAAAAAAGGCTATAATGCCAAAAAGGCTATAATGCCAAAAAAGGCTATAATGCCAAAAACGGCTATAATGCCAAAAAATGCTATAATGCCAAAAAAGGCTATAATGCCAAAAAAGGCTATAATGCCAAAAAATGCTATAATGCCAAAAAAGGCTATAATGCCAAAAAAGGCTATAATGCCAAAAAAAGCTATAATGCCAAAAACGGCTATAATGCCAAAAAATGCTATAATGCCAAAAAAGGCTATAATGCAAAAAAGGCTATAATGCCAAAAAAGGCTATAATGCCAAAAAGGGCTACAATGCCAAAACAGGCTATAATGCCAAAAAAAGGCTATAATGCCAAAAAAGGCTATAATGCCAAAAAAAGTCTATAATGCCAAAAAAAGGCTATAATGCCAAAAAAGGCTATAATGCCAAAAAAGGCTAACATGCCCAAAAACGGCTATAATGATCAAAAAAAACTATAATGCCAAACAGGCTATAATGCCAAAAAATGCTATAATGCCAAAAAATGCTATAATGCCAAGAAAGGGTACAATGCCAAAAAAGGCTACAATGCCAAAACATGCTACAATGCCAAAAAAGGCTATAATGCCAAAAAAGGCTATAATGCCAAAAAAGGTTATATTGCCAAAAAAGGCTATAATGCCAAAAAAGGCTATAATGCCAAAAAAGGCTATAATGCCAAAAAAGGCTATAATGCCAAAAAAAACTATAATGCCAAAACAAGCTATAATGCCAAAAAAAGCTATAATGCCAGAAAAGGCTATAATGCCAAAAAAGGCTATAATGCCAAAAAAGGTTACAATGCCAAAAAAAGGCTACAATGCCAAAAAAGGCTACAATGCCCAAAAACGGCTATAATGCCAAAACATGCTATAATGCCAAAAAAGGCTACAATGCCAAAAAAGGCTACAATGCCAAAAAATGCTACAATGCCAAAAAAGGCTATAATGCCAAAAACGGATGTAATGCCAAGAACTGGCTGTATTGCCAAAAAAGGCTATAATGCCAAAAAAGGCTGTATTGCCAAAAAAGGCTATAATGCCAAAAACGGCTATAATGCCAGAAAAGGCTATAATGCCAAACAAGGCTACAATGCCAAAAAATGCTATAATGCCAAAAAAGGCTATAATGCCAAAAAATGCTATAATGCCAAAAAGGCGATAATGCCAAAACAAGCTATAATGACAAAAAAGGCTATAATGCCAAAAAAAGGCTATAATGCCAAAAAAGGCTATAATGCCAAAAAAGGCTATAATGCCAAAAAAGGCTATAATGCCAAAAAAGGCTACAATGCCAAAAAAGGCTACAATGCCAAAAAAAGGCTACAATGCCAAAAAATGCTATAATGCCAAAAAAGGCTATAATGCCAAAAAAGGCTATAATGCCAAAAAAGGCTATAATGCCAAAAAAGGCTATAATGCCAAAAAAAACTGTAATGCCAAAACAAGCTATAATGCCAAAAAAGGCTATAATGCCAAAAAAGGCTATAATGCCAAAAAGGGCTATAATGCCAAAAAAGGCTATAATGCCAAAAACGGCTATAATGCCAAAAAAGGCTATAATGCCAAAAAAAGGCTATAGTGCCAAAAAAAGGCTCTAATGCCAAAAAATGCTATAATGCCAAAAAATGCTATAATGCCAAAAAAGGCTATAATGCCAAAAAAGGCTATAATGCCAGAAAAGGCTATAATGCCAAAAAAGGCTATAATGCCAAAAACGGCTATAATGCCAAAAAAGGCTATAATGCCAAAAAAGGCTATAATGCCAAAAAAGGCTATAATGCCAAAAAAGGCTATCATGCCAAAACAGGCTATAATGCCAAAAAAGGCTATAATGCCAAAAAAAGGCTCTAATGCCAAAAAAGGCTATAATGCCCAAAAAGGCTACAATGCAAAAAAAAGCTATAATGCCAAAAAAAGGCTATAATGCCAAAAAAATGCTATAATGCCAAAAAAGGCTATAATGCCAAAAAAAGCTATAATGCCAAAAAAGGCTATAATGGCAAAAAAGGCTCTAATGCCAAAAAAGGCTATAATGCCAAAAAAGGCTATAATGCCAAAAAAGCCTATAATGCCAAAAAATGCTATAATGCCAAAAAAAGCTATAATGCCAAAAAATGCTATAATGCCAAAAAATGCTATAATGCCAAAAAAGGCTATAATGCCACAAAAAGCTATAATGCCAAACAAATGCTATAATGCAAAAAAAAGGCTATAATGCCAAAAAAATGCTATAATGCCAAAAAAGGCTATAATGCCAAAACAGGCTATAATGCCAGAAAAGGCTATAATGCCAAAAAAGGCTATAATGCCAAAAAAAGGCTATAATGCCAAAAAAGGCTATAATGCCAAAAAAGGCTATAATGCCAAAAAAGGCTATAATGCCAAAAAAGGCTATAATGCCAAAAAAGGCAAAAAAAGGCTATAATGCCAAAAAAAGGCTATAATGCCAAAAAAGGCTATAATGCCAAAAAAGGCTATAATGCCAAAAAATGGGCTACAATGCCAAAAAAATGCTATAATGCCAAAAAATGCTACAATGCCAAAAAAGGCTATAATGCCAAAAAAGGCTATAATGCCAAAACATGCTATAATGCCAAAAAATGCTACAATGCCAAAAAAATGCTACAATGCCAAAAAATGCTACAATGCCAAAAAAGGCTATAATGCCAAAAAAGGCTATAATGCCAAAACATGCTATAATGCCAAAAAATGCTATAATGCCAAAAAATGTTATAATGCCAAAAAAAGCTATAATGCCAAAAAAGGCTATAATGCCAAAAAAATGCTATAATGCCAAAAAAGGCTATAATGCCAAAAAAGGCTATAATGCCAAAAAGGCTATAATGCCAAAAAAGGCTATAATGCCAAAAAAGGCTATAATGCCAAAAAAATGCTATAATGCCAAACAAATGCTATAATGCAAAAAAAAGGCTATAATGCCAAAAAAATGCTATAATGCCAAACCAAGGCTATAATGCCAAAAAAAGGCTATAATGCCAAAAAAGGCTATAATGCCAAAAAAGGCTACAATGCCAAAAAAAGGCTATAATGCCAAAAACGGCTATAATGGAAAAAAAATGCTATAATTCCAAAAAAGGCTATAATGCCAAAAAAGGCTATAATGCCAAAAACGGCTATAATGCCAAAAAGGGCTATAATGCAAAAAAAATGCTATAATGCCAAAAAATGCTATAATGCCAAAAAAAGGCTACAACGCCAAAAAAGGCTATAATGCCAAAAAAGACTATAATGCCAAAAAAGGCTATAATGCCAAAACATGCTATAATGCCAAAACATGCTACAATGCCAAAAAAGGCTACAATGCCAAAAAAGGCTATAATGCCAAAAAAAGGCTATAATGCCAAAAAAGGCTACAATGCCAAAAAAGGCTACAATGCCAAAAAGGGCTACAATGCCAAAACAAGGCTATAATGCCAAAACAAGCTATAATGCCAAAAAAGGCTATAATGCCAAAAAAGGCTATAATGCCAAAAAGGGCTATAATGCCAAACAAGGCTATAATGCCAAAAAATGCGATAATGCCTATTGTAATGCCAAAAAAGGCTGCATTGCCAAAAAAGGCTGTATTGCCAAAAAAGGCTGTATTGCCAAAAAAAGCTATAATGCCAAAAAAGGTTATGATGCCAAAAAAGGCTGTAATGCCAAAAATGGCTGTATTGCCAAAAAAAGCTGTATTGCCAAAAAAGGCTGTATTGCCAAAAAAGGCTATAATGCCAAAAACGGCTATAATGCAAAAAAAATGCTATAATGCCAAAAAATGCTATAATGCCAAAAAAGGCTATAATGCCAAACCAAGGCTATAATGCCAAAAAAAGGCTCTAATGCCAAAAAAGGCTCTAATGCCAAACCAAGGCTATAATGCCAAAAAATGCTATAATGCCAAAAAAAGGCTATAATGCCAAAAAAAGCTATAATGCCAAAAAAGGCTACAATGCCAAAACAAGGCTATAATGCCAAAAAAAGGCTATAATGCCAAAAAAGGCTACAATGCAAAAAAGGCTATAATGCCAAACAAATGCTATAATGCAAAAAACATGCTATAATGCCAAAAAAAGGCTATAATGCCAAAAACGGCTATAATGCCAAAAAAGGCTATAATGCCAAAAAATGCTATAATGCCAAACCAAGGCTATAATGCCAAAAAAAGGCTCTAATGCCAAAAAAGGCTCTAATGCCAAAAAATGCTATAATGCCAAAAAATGCTATAATGCCAAAAAAAGGCTATAATGCAAAAAAAAGGCTATAATGCCAAAAAAGGCTATAATGCCAAAAAAGGCTATAATGCCAAAACAAAAACTATAATGTCAAAAAAGGCTATAATGCCAAAAAAGGCTATAATGCCAAAAAAGGCTATAATGCCAAAAAAATGCTATAATGCCAAACAAATGCTATAATGCAAAAAAAAGGCTATAATGCCAAAAAAATGCTATAATGCCAAAAAAGGCTATAATGCCAAAAAAGGCTATAATGCCAGAAAAGGCTATAATGCCAAAAAAAGGCTATAATGCCAAAAACGGCTATAATGGAAAAAAATGCTATAATTCCAAAAAAGGCTATAATGCCAAAAAAGGCTATAATGCCAAAAACGGCTATAATGCCAAAAAGGGCTATAATGCAAAAAAAATGCTATAATGCCAAAAAATGCTATAATGCCAAAAAAAGGCTATAATGCCAAACCAAGGCTCTAATGCCAAAAAAAGGCTCTAATGCCAAAAAAGGCTCTAATGCCAAAAAATGCTATAATGCCAAAAAATGCTATAATGCCAAAAAAAGGCTATAATGCCAAAAGCGGCTATAATGCCAGAAAAGGCTATAATGCCAAAAAAGGCTATAATGCCAAAAAAAGCTATAATGCCAAAAAAGGCTATAATGCCAAAAAAGGCTATAATGCCAAAAAAGGCTTTATTGCGATGCATGCACAGGTGTGAGACATGGCAGTACCACAACACCTGGTTGTTTGGCTGCTTATCTTTTTCTCTTGCAAGTCACTGGGGACCTATGGTCTTACCCAGTCAGGAGCATTGGGATCATAGCCATAGTCCTGGATGGCCTGCCTGTGCTGGTCCACAAAGGTCTTCCATAAAAAAAATAGTGTTTCCTACTTGTTGGCTCATCCCACGGATCATAGGCAGGTGAGTTCACCCTAGTTTAAGTAGATTAACCCTACAAAACTCCCACTAACTTATAACCAGGAACATGATCTACTTAGTACCTTCTGGTAAACTAACATAGCTATTGAACATGGCCATTTTGAAATCGTTGCTTTACCCATTAAACATGGTGATTTTCCAGTTCGCAAAATGTCAGCCGTTTACCAGAGGGGATTTGTGGGTCGTTCGCCACCAGCGGATTCGCGGCTTCATCCCCAAGGCTTCCAAGGGACTCATGGAGGTGTACTCATCCGCCGCATCTGCTGCAATCTCCACCCTCACGGTTCCACTGATGACCCCCGAGAGCGGATCCTGGTGGAACATGACCAAAAAACACTGGCCAAAAATGGGATGAAAATAGTGGATTTACATTTGTGATAGATAAGCTGGTAAACATTTGCAAACATAAATTGGTAAGTTCTTTGGCACATACACTAGTCAGATGAGTTTAGAAAACAACAAACAAAATATGGGGGGAGCACATTGTCAATGTACGAGCAATATGTTTCACGAGGAAGGGACCATCCAAGGACAGATATATCATCACCATATCACCGCCGATCCAAATGAGTGACAGGCTTTTGAATTTTGAATCTCAAGATGGCAGCGGGTACCCTCTGGTAATTTAATATAGCTATGGAACACGGGACATGTATAGACTATTCACCTATTGAGCATGGTGATGTTCCATGGATATGTTAGCTTATCAAAGGGCATGTGCAATGATCAATTGCAACATATTTTCTCAAATCTTCACAATAGACTCAGATGTTTTCCGTTGGAAATCCCAAAGCTTGTAGTTGAGTGTGCATCCCATTTACTGGTTGTGGGCAAATTTCATCATATTGCAACATATTGCAACCCAAGTTACCACCTGGTTATTTAACATAGCCATGGAAAATCCCAACCATAAATAGAGGTTTCTAGCTGGGAAAATCATCTATTTCTATGGGCCGTCTATATATACCATGGCTATGTTCTTCAGCTACCCAGCTACCCCCAGGGGCCCCAGTGAGGCCACAATGACTTGATCCGATTCAACGGATCCCCAAGAAGGAACACAGGATCCACAAGTTCTGCGAAATTCATGCCTTAAAAAACCCCATGATGGATCTATGGTGCTGGTATATATGCTAACATGACTGGGGTATATTGATGGTAAATTTTAAATGTTATCATATATAGCAGCACCATGGATCCGTCATGGGTACCTGTTGCTCAAGAACGGATTTCCCAGCGCATTGTGATAGTCCTCAATCTAGGGGTTCGTACATCCCCAATCCTTCTGGGAATCGGCTGCTCGCACGGACACCTGATTCTTTTAGATACTAACATTTTTTGGGACCACTTGGGCTGTCTGACTCTTGAGAGGACATTCCAAGGGGATCTCTAGAATATAGTCATCAATAAACACAGGATGGGGCCCCCAAAATAGCCAAGTTGTCTTATAAGTGGCTGAATTCTATGGTTTATGCTAGCTATAACGAACTAGTTAATGGGGCTTATAAAAAGCAACGTTCACATCACTGGGGGGCACCATCCTGCACTTTAAGAATGCTCGGTCTTTCTGGTCCTCATCAGTGAAGCTCATGTTGAAGGCCACGTTCGGTACTCCACCACAATCATCCCTCAAGAGGCGTACCGAATGATGGCAAGGGACCCGCAAGGGACCCAGTCGGGTGAGATGGAAATACGGTGGATGGGCCAGCGAAATCCGAATCACCAGTTGATAGGTGGTAAACATCCGATTTATCCCATTATTTATAGGCTTTCAACCAAGGTGACGCAGGATTTCGCAACCATCCACAGTAGTTCAGTGCAATGAATGGTGTCAGCTACCCTTTGTTCGGGCGAATCCTCTCATAGCATTTTTGGGGGATGATCCTGCTAACCAAATCAAGATTTAAGGCATGTTGGAATTCTAAAAACACCAAAAGCAGGCTGGTTCTTACAGATCTGCGTGGAGGAAAAAAGCGCAATAAAATACTACATGCCTCTACATGTCATATATATATATATACATATGATTATTTATGATTATTTAGAACTTATCTTGGGCGGTATGACACATCCCTAAATATATATGTATATATATATATATATATATATGTATATACCAACGTGGGTGCAATGTGTGTCCTTAAGCTGCTTTGTTCCGCTGCGCTGCTGAACCTGAGGAAAAGCAAAACACTCATCACGTTGAAGTAATCCAGCGTCATTCCACGGTCTCTGGCGGAAACATGGCTTGGACTATGGCCCACAGCCGCTCGACTGGGATCGTCCCTGACTGCATCCGCAAGCCGGCCTGGAGCATGGCCAGCGCCGCTCGCCTCCATCTCCAAAGGCCCTGTAACCGGAGAGGGCGCAAAAGTCTTTTGTAGTGGAGTTGAACTTTTGCCGTCATACTGCTGCGCGTCGGAGCGCGTTGGCGCTTCAGCATGTAGTGCTTGCACCCGCAGGCGAACAATGCGGCGACATCTGTGGCGCAATGGTTTCACCTCTCTCCGTCCTTCTCGGTACCACCTGCGATTTTTTTTGATCTCAGACTTGAAATCTTCAAGTTTACTGTGTAAACTCTGCTTGGTAGGACCAAACCCTCTCAACACTGACAGTGCCATTGCTGCGGCAGCTTGGCCTTGGACATGAGCCTCCAAGACACACCATCCAACTAGTTCGGATGTCTCCAGCATTTTTTTTTCAATATCCAATCGTTAAGCAAACAAGATGCAGCCCACGAACCCGAATGCTCACACGTACGTTAATGGTACAGATGTCAAAACACATGGATATGTAATCATGCAGGACACTTTTCTGCAATAGTTTATGTGAACAGTCTTGTACATATTTCCCCCGTTACCAGTCTGCAGTGTGGAGTGTGGAGTGTAGCGTGTGGAGTGTAAAGTGCAGAGTGTGGAGTGTAAAGTGTGGAGTGTGGAGTGTAAAGTGTAGAGTGTGGAGTGTGGGGTGGAAAGTGTAGAGTGTAGTGTGTGGAGTGAGGAGTCAGGAGTCTAAAGTGTAAATTGTGGAGTGTGGAATGTGGAGTGTAAAGTGTGGAGTGCGGAGTGTGGAGTGGAAAGTGTAGAGTGTGGAGTGGCAAGTGGAAAGTGTAGTGTGGGGAGTGTGGAGTGTAAAGTGAGGAGTGTGGAGTGTAAAGTGTGGAGTGAGGAGTGGGGAGTTTGTAAATTGTAGAGTGTGGGGTGTGGAGTGTAGAGTGTAAAGTGTAGAGTATAATGTGTAGAGTGTGGAGTGTAAAGTGTAGAGTGTCGAGTGTGGAGTGTGGAGTGAGGAGTGTAAAGTGTAAAGTGTGGAGTGTAAAGCGTAGAGTGTGGAGTGTGGAGTGGAAAGTGTGGAGTGTGGAGTGTAGAGTGTGGAGTGTAAAGTGTGGATTAAGGAGTGTGGAGTGTGTAAAGTGTAGATTGTAGAGTGTGGAGTGTAGTGTGTAAAGTGTAGAGTGGGGAGTGTGGAGTGAGGAATGTAAAGTGTAAAGTGTGGAGTGTGGAGTGGAAAGTGTAGAGTGTGGAGTGTGGAGTGTGAAGTGTGGAGTGTAAAGTGAGGAGTGCGGAGTGTAAAGTGTGGAGTGGGGAGTGTAAAGTGTAAAGTGTGGAGTGTGGAGTGTAATGGGTGGGGTGTGGAGTGCGGAGTGCAAAGGGTAGAGTGTGGAGTGTGGAGTGTAAAGTGAGGAGTTTGGAGTGTGGAGTGTAAAGTGTGGAGTGAGGAGTGTGGAGTGTGTAAAGTTTGTAAAGTGTAGAGTGTGGAGTGTAGAGTGTAAAGTGTAGAGTGTAAAGTGTAGAGTGTGGAGTGTAAAGTGTGGAGTGAGGAGTGTAAAGTGTAAAATGTGGAGTGTAAAATGTAAAGTGTGGAGTGTAGAGTGTAAAGTGTATAGTGTAAAGTGTAGAGTGTGGAGTGTAAAGTGTGGAGTGTGGAGTGTGGAGTGTAAAGTGTCGAGTGAGGAGTGTAAAGTGCAAAGTGTAGAGTGTGGAGTGAGGAGTGCAAAGTGAGAAGTGTGGAGTGTGGAGTGTACAGTGAGAGGTGTGGAGTGCGGAGTGTAAAGTGAGGAGTGTGGAGTGTAAAGTGTGGAGTTTAAAATGTCAAGTGTGGAGTGTAGAGTGTAGAGTGTAAAGTGTCGAGTGTAAAGTGTAGAGTGAGGAGTGTGGAGTGTAAAGTGTGGAGTGTAAAGTCTCGAGTGAGGAGTGAAGAGTGTAAATTGTAAAGTATGGAGTGTAAAGTGTAGAGTGTGGAGTGTGGAGTCTAAAGTGTAAATTGTGGAGTGTGGAGTGTAAAGTGTAGAGTGTGGAGTGCGGAGCTTCCCCCATAGACAAGCCACAGGAAAACCAGAGACTCGAGACGAGACACTTGGGTGCAGAAAAACGAGCATTTCGTGCGAGACTTCCTCCAATTTTGGCATTCTCGACACGTCATCAAACAGGTTGGAATGTCACAAAGTGCCACGCCTGCCACGCAAAACGACATGACAACCTGCTTGGAAACCTTCGAAAAAGAGAGGTTTTGCAGCTTCTCTCATAGACACGGCGACGCCACCAGGAAACCGGAGACTCGAGACGAGACACGTGAATGCAGAAAAACCAGCATTTCGTACGAGACTTCCTCCAATTTTGACACTTTCGACACGTTATCAAACAAGTTGGAATGCCACAAAGTGCCACGCCTGCCACGCAAAACGACGTGGCAACTTGCTTGGAAACCTTCAAAAAGGAGACGTTTTGCAGCTTCTCTCATAGACACGGCGACGCCACCAGGAAACCGGAGACTCGAGACGAGACACGTGAATGCAGAAAAACCAGCATTTCGTACCAATTTTGACACTTTCGACACGTTATCAAACAAGTTGGAATGCCACAAAGTGCCACGCCTGCCACGCAAAACGACGTGGCAACTTGCTTGGAAACCTTCAAAAAGGAGACGTTTTGCAGCTTCTCTCATAGACACGACGACGCCACCAGGAAACCGGAGACTGAGGCCACAGGAAAACCAGAGGCCCGAGACGAGACAGGCGGGAGCACCAAAACGAGCATTTCGTGCGAGACATCCTCCAATTTTCACACTTTGTAGCTTCAAAATCGACGTTTTCCTCCGAGTTTTCCTTAGAACCTGAAAATTTGCAACCGATGTTTCGTGCGAGGCCTCCGTCAATTTTCAGCACATCGCACAAAATGCCACGCCTGCCACTGAATTTGCACCTTGTCGCCACTTGACGCAGCCCTCCCAATGCGATTTACAAAAAACAGGCAACACGACACGTCTAAAGTGCTGCGCCTGCCACGAAAAATGCAACACATCTTCTGAAAATGTCGCAAAAGTATTGCGCCTGCCACACAAACGACTTTCGACACGTTACAAAACACGTCTGAATGTCACGAAGTGCCACGCGCGCCACGCGAAACGAAGCAACGAGACTTTTGAAACCTACAAAAAGCACCCCTCCTGCAGAACTTACCCATATAGCAATCGTGCGGACAGTTGCGAACGGTTGCGAACGGTTGCGGACGGTTGCGACCGTGAACGCAACGTCGAGCGAACACACCCTCAACCCCCAGACCCCCACACAGAGTGAAACGGGAACCCTTGCTACGCATTCGGGAAAAACTCAGAGACTGCAATGCAAACCGCCAAGTGAGTATCATCATGAGGCCAGTAGATAGACAGCGTTCAGTTGGGCCAAATAACTTCAATTTCACTTGGTTTATGGCAATACCTATAGTTCAACCAGTTAGCCTATAATGGGATTCATTCAACTGACTAGTGAACTATGGTTTAGTTAATGGGATTCATAAACCAATATTTCTGGTTGGTGGTTTCAACCCCTCTGAAAAATATGAAAGTCAGTTGGGATGATTATTCCCAATCTATGGAAACATAAAAAATGTTCCAAACCACCAACCAGAAGTGGGATTTATGGTAGATCCATCTGTTAGAATTATCCATTTCAATAGGATGTTCCATTACCAGTAGTACCGCGCAAGGCGGTGGCGGAAGTGTCAAAAATAGGAAACCTATAGGAGAGGTTGGTTGTTGTGAATCAGGGATGGCAGAGCGAAGCCACTGATGGACCAAAAGGTGCTTGAGGTCTCCTCTCTTTCTCTCTCTTTCTCTGACTATCTACCTACCTACCTACCTATCTACCTATCTACCTATCTACCTATCTATCTATCTATCTATGTATGTATCTATTTATCTATCGATCTATCTCTCTCTCTCTCTTTCATCTGTCTATCTGTCTAGCTGTCTACCTGTCTATCTGTCTATCTATCTATCTGTCTATCTGTCTACCTGTCTATCTGTGGTGCAGTGTCATTCAGTTTAATCTAGTGTAGTGTAATGTAGTGTATTGTAGTGGAGTGTAGTGGAATGTAGTGTAGCGTAGTGTAATGTAGTGCCGTGTGGTGTAATTTAGGGTAGTGGAGTGTAGTTGTGTAGTTGTAGCTGTAGTTGTAGTGTAGTGGAGTGTAGCGCAGTGTAATGTAGTGAAGTGTAGTGGAAGGTAGTGTAGTGTAGTGTAATGTAGTGTAGTGTAGTGGAGTGTAGTGTAGTGTCATGTACTGTATTGTAATTTAGTGTAGTGGAGTGTAGTTGTGTAGTTGTAGTTGTAGTTGTAGTGTAGTGGAGCGCAGTGTAGTGTAATGTAGTGAAGTGTAGTGGAAGGTAGTGTAGTGTAATGTAGTGTAGTGTAGTGGAGTGTAGTGTAATGTAGTGTAGTGTAATTTGGTGTAGTGGAGTGTAGTTGTGTAGTTGTAGTTGAAGTTGTAGTTGTAGTTGTAGCTGTAGTGTAGTGTAATGTAATGTAGAGAAGTGTAGTGGAAACTAGTGTAGTGTAGTGTAGTGTAATTTAGTGTAGTGGAGTGTAGTTGTGTAGTTGTAGTTGTAGTGTAGTGGAGTGTAGTTGTGTAGTTGTGTAGTTGTAGTTGTAGTGTAGTGGAGTGCAGTGTAGTGTAATGTAGTGAAGTGTAGTGGAAGGTAGTGTAGTGTAATGTAGTGTAGTATAGTGGAGTGTTAGTGTAGTGTAATGTAGTGTAGTGTAATTTGGTGTAGTGGAGTGTAGTGGAGTGTAGTTGTGTAGTTGTAGTTGTAGCTGTAGTGTAGTGGAGTGTAGTGTAGCGTACTGTAATGTAGAGAAGTGTAGTGGAAGCTAGTGTAGTGTAGTGTAGTGTAATTTAGTGTAGTGGAGTGTAGTGGACTGTAGTTGTGTAGGTGTAGTTGTAGTTGTAGTTGTAGTGTAGTGGAGTGTAGTTGTGTAGTTGTAGTTGTAATGTTGTGGAGTGTAGTGTAGTGTAATGTAGTGTAGTGGAGTGGAGTGTATTGTAGGGTAGTGTAATGTAGTGTAGTGAAGCGAAGCGAAGCGACATCTGAACCTCCAAAAGTGGCGCGAACATGTAGTGCTTTGTCCATTTTGACTTGGAAATGTACTTCGCGCCACAACGGCGTGCACTTTTTCCACATCCGAACCTCCAAAAGTGGTCCGAACCCCTAGTGTTTTGTGCATTTTGACTTCGAAATGTGCTTCGCGCCACAACGGCGCGCACTTTTTCGAGATCTGAACCTCCAAAAGTGGCGCGAACATGTGGAAGTACATTTTGACTTCGAAATGTGCTTCGCGCCACAACAGCGTGCACTTTTTCGACATCTCAACTTCCAAAAGTGGTCCGACAATGGTGTGTTTTGTAGATTTTGACTGGCGTGCACTTTTTCAACATCTCAACTCCCAAAAGTTTCTCTTCTCTCTGCCTCTGCCCTGCTCTGCTTTTCATCTGTCCATATTGTCGGAAGTTTGACTTCTAAACTTCCTTCGATAAACCAACCATTTTTTTGGGGGGATACCCACATTTTAGAACACCAACCATTATAAACCAAATGTTTATGTTGTGGTTTCTGCCCCCCAGACGGTCTCCTGCGGACTGTGTCCCACAAAAACACTTGGAAAACCTGGCCATGATTCCCCAAAAACCAGCCATCGCGACGTCACAGTGAGGTAATTGTGATTCATCAATATATGTATAATGTATATACATATATATGTATATTAGTGGTATATAGTCATATATATATATATAGACGGTAACCACATTTAAATACACGGATTTAAAATATACGAACAGGTATTTTAGACTACCTCCGGGAAGGGATTCCTTGGTCCGCCCGGCCATTTAAACATACGGAATCCAATTCATTTAAACAGTAACTACATTTAAATATACGATCTGGTATTTCATGCTATCTCCTGGGCCTCGCGGTCTGGCCTCCATATATTTAAATGTCGTTACCGTATATTAATCATATATATATATATCATTATTATAGTAATAATGATAATACGGATAATAACAATAATATCAACAAACATAATATAAAAATAATACTAATAATAATGAAACAGTAGTAATGATGATGATAATATTGCTAATAATAATGGTAATATAGACATCTAAGATATTTAGAAATCCCATAAAATCTCTCATCACCCCTCCACAATTTGAGCATGTTTTTGCCCACCCAATGGGCGTGCTTTGCTTCTTGGGGCGTGCTGTGCTTGATGCATTTCTTGGTAAATGGATTTGTCTGAACAGGACGGGAGACCCCAAAGTTATGGATCACTGGTTGGTGGTTGACCTACCCCAATGAAAAATATGAAAGTCAGTTGGGATGATGACATTCCCAATATATGGAAAAATAAAATTCATGTTTCAAACCACCAACCGGATTATTTATGGTCGCAATCTGGGTGTCCATCATTTTGGACAAGAACCATTGTGTATCTGGGGCGAATCCCGCTGATTTGTTGGTTAGTCTCGGGTGTCATCATGGCGTGCTGCAGAATCCCCCATTTATAAGATTTTATAAGTTTGTTTGCCCATTAAAACCTCCACTCAGTTCGGGTATTTCCCAGCTAGCCGTGTTTCCAGAGATGGTTTTTCCCACAAAAACCTCAAGTTCAGGGATTTCCCAAGAAAACGTAGCCCTGAAACCCGTTTACTTCGGGGATTTCCCATGGAATCTCCCTTGCGAAACTGCGCCGTTCTCTCGCTGGGTTGTCGCACTGGAAGATGGCACCGTACGGGACCTCCCAGGCATCGTTCACTGAGCCCACCAACAGCAAGTAGACGCCTCAGGCCGCGGCACAGCGCGAATCCGAGTTCAGTTCTGGTCCCGTTTCTGGTGTCGACGCCTATTTTATAGGATGGTTTCGTCCATGCATACAGGATCTGTACCCTCATCATCATGAACTGTGATGGAACGTGCTGGGTTATGTCGGTGAATGTGTGAATACGGTGTATATAGTATGTCAACCCATGATCTATCTGGGTGATTCTGAGTGTGGGTCAAACAAATACGGGTTCTCCAGTGAAAAATGCAACAACATTAATAGAAATACCTCCACAAACTATGTTGGGATATGCATCAACAAAGGGGTTGTACTCTTGACAAGTCTTGATCCTCTTCGAAGTTGAATAGTTCCCCTGATAAGCAAACCCGGTAATCGAAAATCCCAGTGTAAAAGGGGAAATCACTTGATATCAAGAGTTTGAACAACAGTGGGATTTTCCCATTATATAAATTAATGTATATAATCCTGGAATTTCCCATCAGGAGATAAAACTGTGGGAAATAAATTTGACATCTTCAATGTCAGGCATTGAAGAGGATTGAGGATCATCCCACAAATCATAAGTGGTTAAGCAAATATTAACGACAGTTGCACAATGACCATACATTGAATACGCTGCAACGCCTGGGCAAAACCCAGGCGTTGCGCGTATATATATGGGGCCTCATATATATATATATATATATATATATATCTCTCTCTCTCTTACATATCTATATTACGAATATATTTATATTGTGAATATCTAAGAATCATTGAAACTTACATAGTAAATCAAAGTAAATCCGTGGTTACAAATCAACGTTTATACCCTCTGGTAAACAAACATAGCTATTGTATAGATGGCCATTTATAGTTGATTTATGTTGATTTACTCATTAAAAATTACTGTAGGTAATTTTCCATATATAGTTAATGTTACTTTACCAGAGGGTAAATACTCCCTATAACCCATTCACACTTTGGATCCACGACTGACTCTCACGACACTCGCAGCGGGAATGATCCTCTTGCGAGAAGGCACGTGAACCCTGCTGCAAGTCGGCAGGAATCGGAACCTCAGTGGGTTTCCGTGGAAAAGCCTAGCGTCTGGTTATTTTGCCATGGAAAACCATCATTTTGCCATGGAAACCAACATTTTGCTATGGAAAATCACCATGTTTAATAGGTAAACCATCTATTTCTATGGGTCATTTTCCATGGCTATGTTAAATAACCAGAGCCGAGCTGAAAACTGGCTGTGTGAAAAACCCAATAAGAACATGGTTGCAAAAAAAAAATACCGATAAACACCGAACAAAATCCTTTACTGTATTTGTTTGCATTCTTTCTTTACCAATCTTTCATGTCATCGCGATTCATTGAAACAAAAAAACACATCAAATTGGTTGATTCCCCATATTTTCCAGTCGCACGGGGCCGCATCACAGAGTGATATGAATCATTCAAAGTGGCCCCCCCCAAGATAGCTAATTAAGTTGGTTTATAACTACAATAAATTGGGCCTATGGCAGTTATAACTCTAGTTAGTCACGGGGTGGCATGTAGTGGGATGTAATGGGGCACTAAATGTTTGCTTGAAATTGGTCACATGTTTGGAAACTATGTAAGCATGCAAATAGAAACAAAAAGCCAATAGAAAATGATGAAGCAAACACTGCGGGTGAATCATGGCTTGGAAACATCATACCTTGACCCTCAAATAACCCATAAGCATAAAGCAACTCAGAAAATCGAGTAAAAGTACTACAAGTAATCATTTTCTATAGGTCAATCGATGGTCTGGCAATCATACCCAGAATGGTTCTGACAACAGGACATCTGACAACGTCTTACAACGAAAACCTCATCTACTCTAATTCGAAGCTTCAAAATCCACAGTGCCGTCATGGCGTCATGGAACTACAATGTGGGGCCCCCGTTCGATAGCTAAGTTGGTTTATAACTACAATAACTAGGGTTTATGGCAGTTATAACTTTGGTCAAATGGGCTTATAAACCAACTTATAACTAGTTTATGCTAGTTATAACTAACTAGTTGGGAACGGCGCTGATAGGCGCCTGGTGGTTTTAAGGGTGCGTGCGTGAATTTCCCATTGGAATTGCGTATGCAGCCTTGCACACCTGTTTATTGACGTCCCAAAAACTACTTCAACCATTGAGCAATTTGCTCATGGCAGCAAGTTTCTCTGAATTATTGCCGCGCAGCTTTGTTCTGCGCCACATCCATTGCCAGACCCTTTGCTCCAATTTTGAGGAATCGGTCACCAAGTCACGAATGCCTTTTTTTTTTGGAAGCTTCCTTGGGAAGCCAACACTTCAACGATTTCCAATCTGAATCAATGGTCTGTGTTCCACTGATGTTCGACAATCCTTTGGGCACCTTACAAATTGTGGAAGCATATTCTTTGTGCTGATGATTCACTTGAAAACAAGGAACACAACCTTCGCAGCTTTGGACCATGCACGAACACCATCAGCATAGATAGCAGTAGGCCTTTTGAAGTTGACAGCGGAAAGAAGCTTTGAATTTTGGATCTCCTCCCATGATTCTTGCGGTGGACGGCTTTTGGGCAAGCAAACCTAGAATGTCGGTGTTGAAATAAACGAAAGGACAGCACATGTTGGATTATCTTCCGGTGGGACTATTGTTTCAAAACCTGCAACTTTTTTCTTTTTTGTCCAAGAAAAACGTAGACGAAGAAGTCGAAGAATCAATGGTCCATTGCATTGACGCAAGCACAGCAAGCGTATGTGCACGGGAAATGCAGGGAATGTCTTGCCCTCGCCACACCACCCCATGATCAACGTAACATCATGAGCGTAACATGAACGTTAACATCCCACCCAACCCCACCCGACCCCATGATCAACGTAACATCATGAGCGTAACATGAACGTCAACATCCCACCCCACCCCACCCCTGTGATCAACGTAGCATCATGAGCATAACATGAACGTTAACATCCCACCCCACCCCACCCCATGATCAACGTAACATCATGAGCGTAACATGAACGTTAGCATCCCACCCCACCCCACCCCACCCCATGATCAACGTAACATCATGAGGGTAACATGAACGTTAACATCGCACCCCACCCCACCATTTCAAAAGAATAGCAAAAAAAAACAACAGAACACCCAGGCACCCTGCAGCGCCCATGGCAACTAGTTAGATGGGGTTATGTTCACCCACAAATATCACGTTTGGGGGCCCCACATTGTAGGTAAACAATAGTAGAACAATCATGACCCGGTGTTTATGATTGGGTCCCAATGCCGTTTTGGGATGATGTAAATTTCATCAACGCACAGGTTGGTTGTGTCCGGATGGCTTCTAGTCCCCACAGAGATAGAACAGTAAACTCCTACGTAGACGTAGCGTTGCAACTTGCTTTTCTATCTTATTGGGATGGTGTATAAGATTTGCTGTTGTTGGTATTTTGTTGATCCCGGACTCTCAGTGGGAAAACCTGAATTCCGGACTATGAAGATCATACTGATTTCTATTATGTGGGGCCAGCAAAATAAGTAAACTGGTAAACATAACTAGGTCTATTATGGTTTGTGTGGTGAAAACATGTTTTGTTTGTGCTTTGGGTACCGATGACTATGGTTTCTTACTGTAGGTCTATGCTTTCTATAACTACCTGTGGATGAATCAACAGCAGAACTGGGGGGCCACATTGCAACAAGTACCCTCTGATAATCAAATATGGTTTGCTGAAAAATCTCCGACTTAGCAGGTTCCAATTTCAATGCCCATTCAAAGGAGATTTCCCAGCTATGTTTGACTGCCGGATGGCAATATGTCTAATCTTCATCCCATCTCATATCCATCTTTCTATACTTGTGTTGAACTCCCAAACTATTCATCCCATTTATCCAAATGTTTATCCCACACTTCCATTGTTATAAATGGTGAACTCCCCGTTGCCCACGACTTCTCAGCGCCATGTTCAAGAAACTGAGCCAGAGAGGTCGATATCCACCCAGGCTATGGTCAGGGCATTGGTACCTGCACCCAGGGACCCAGGTCGCACCGTAACGTTGCCTTTATTTCGGATCTGGATCATGATGGATCCACGATTTACCGTATTTTATGGAAATGAAATGAGCAACATGTCCAAATCCCGTATTTTGCGAAAATGGTTAGCATTCTCCACGCGCCCCCAACAGACACACACACACATGGCATGAAAGATGGCTTGATCGGCTGGGTTCCGATGCTCTTTCCCGGAGCGGTAATGCATTGAGCAGTCCTGTTATATAATAGCTCTCTTTTTTTTCTCGAGCCACTGCTGTTAATATGGGGGCCTTGCCCCAAAGCCCCCGCGGTCCCATCCTATAAAGAGCCTCCCTGTCAGCGGTACCATGGGACGAAGCAGGTAAACTGCTCGGAAGCTTCTTCGGCCAGGTACTCGAGCTCACATGGCGACAGCCCCTGCACGTACGACAGGCGTGCTTCTAAGTTCTGCTCTGTCAAGGCACCATCCGACATTCTGTACAATGGGGTGTAGTCCGGGAGCTCCTGCGCAAAGCCGCTCAGCAACAGCGTCGTATCATGACGTTGCGATTCAAGAAGCCCATGGTTCAGCGCTAAGTCCATGACTGCGTACCTCAGCTGATAAAAGTAGAACACCTGGTCTTCCGGGTTGGCCTCAAACAAATGTTTTGCGAACACGCGCCCGCTCAGCAAAAGAAAGGAGGCTTCAAGCTTGTCATCCACGGGCCTCAGAACACAGCTGACTACCAGCACACCCGGGTTCACCTGTTTGACAATTATGACTCGGCCATCTTGCTTTGGAGGCTTCCACACATTGAAGCGCCGCCGGCCATACCGCGTGTCTATGTAACAGTCCGCGAGAAGCTGATGCCCGCAGCTCAGGGAAGGCACTGCCGAGAAAAATCCTGCGCCGGCTGCCATGCTTGCGGGGGGATGCTGGTCAACATTGCAATCTGGTCGTTCTTGAAGCAGGGCCACACCACCAGCCGTTCGACAACCTCAACCTCGTCCTTGTCCGACAACGGCGGCCGCCGAAGCATCCGCTTGCGTCTGCTGCGCTGCTGCACCGCCATGAGGCTTGCTAGTGCCGCGGATGGGATTAATACCTAAACAAAGGACGACCCTTTCGTTCAAATGTCTGCCCAACGCAATCGTACCATGAACCTCGGGACTTTGATTTGGCTTTACCACGGTGGGGAACTTTGATGCATCACGGCCTGCCGGTGAAGTGTATGTGTGTAAATATTACAGTGAACTTGCAACGCTTGGATCTGCTCGACAGGACCCGCCTGGTTCGTTGGCAACCCTTCTCAGCAGACATGACATGAAAGACGGCTTGATGCTTCTTAGAATTTAACCTTATGATAATCTATGCCAGCCTTACTCTGGAAATCAATGCTTTAGTTATTTTGTCATTTTTCATTTTGGTTTTCATTTTTATCATAGATATTTGCATTTTTTTCATATTTTGGTCCTTCTTTTTGGAGTTTTCATTTGTTCATTACTAATTCTAGTGATTGCATAGTTTTGGTTTTCTTTTGTTTGTTTTATGATGTTTTTAGGTGGTGTATTGAAATGTGTTGAAGTGTATTTAATTCCTTTGCTCATTCCACAGTAGCTACTCCGTGCCTCACAAAATGAATATCATTATTAACATCTAACCTTGTCTTATCTGAGCTTGAGTGGGCTGGGCATTGTAGGGCTGGAGGTGGAAGAGAAGTTAGGTGAGCTGGCTGGTAGGGCCGGGATGGTGGGGGTGGGTGGGCTGCTGGGCTGGGGGCTGGCTGGGCTGGGTGGTAATGGGTGGGGGGGGGTGTGGGTGGGTGGGCTGCTGGGTGAACTCCAAAATTTGGAAACTGACGATTTTCCTCGAGTTTTTTTTTCATTTTTTCATTTTTTTCATGTGTTTTCATTTTTTCATGTTTTTTTCATTTTTGCTGTTTTGGTTTTCATTTTTTCATTTGTTTCATTTGTTTCATGTTTTTCATTTTTCTCATTTTTTCATTTTGTTTTTCATTTGTTTCTGCTTTATCATTCTTTTTATCATTGGCTGGGCTGGGCTGGGCTGGGGTAGGCTGGACCGGCTGCGATTTCTTGCTGGGGACACCCTGCTCGTTGCAGCTTGCTCCTGTCTGCTAGCTGCTACCTGCTACGTGTCTTTGTCATTTAATTTCTTGTTACTTAGTAGCGATTGATTCTTGATTACCGAAGCTGGTGAGTTGTTCAGTGAGTTACAGCTGGCTAGTGAGTTATCAAACACAAGGAGTTTTATTTTTTTCATAGGAGAAGGAAGAGGACGAGGAGGAGGAGAAGAAGGAGAAGGATGAGGAAAAGGAGGAGGAGAACAACTGTGATAAAATCTAACAACCCTCACCTGGCAGGTGGGGAATAATGAAACAAATGAATATCCATTTGGTGAGTACAAATTCAATGATACCATTGATGAATAGAATGGAAGTACATTTGAATTTGGTGACTACAAATACAATGATGATATTGATGGAAAAAATATAAAGGAAATGAAAATAAAATGATACACTATTTAAAATCATCTGTCCCTGCTAGAGGGTGAAAGATTTTTATAAATTTAACCAGTGCCTTGCATGCGGATGCACACAGCAGCTCCGGGAACACACTTCCTTTTTACTTGCAGCGGCGCCGTTCATACAAGAGGCTTTGCTCAAAATCTTGCGCGGCGCCACATCCCGATGCCTTACCGTTCAGGGCCCGCAAAGCAACGGCATTTTACCGCATCGCGTTGCGCCAAAGGTCACGAACAGCGTCATCGCATGTCATCGCCCTGCTGAATTTAGGGCTCTTTGGCAGCAGGCGTCTTTGCAGGGCCCCAGGTTTAATCATGAGAGCGGAAACGATTATTAGATACAAAACCAAGGTCGACAGCCGTGCTTTCTCTTACGCACGTATATTAGCCAATTGCACACATATAGCCCGTATAGCATTCGTTTTACCGCTTCTTGGAACTTGTTTACATACTGTCAGGCCGGGACCCTATACCGCGCATGGGGAAAAACAGAAATGATATTATATATTATTTCCAACGTTTCCAGGGCGCTTCAGCTCCCTCCGTGCTTGGCCTGTCTGGGCTCACTCTTCAGGGATCGGCTGCGTCGAGCATCACGCCGGGCTGCTGGAGGATCCACTGGGCCACCTCGTCGTCCTGCCCCGTGCGGTTCATAGACGGGCAGCCGAAGCAAGCAACCTTCCAAGACCGAGGTCAGGTGGCTTTCCCCATGGGTCGTCGCCGGCCGCGTAAATGACGGTTTGCCACTTTTGCACCCCGACTCCATCCACGTCGGTCGGTCCGGTCACGGGCGGCGCGCCGCTGAGCACTCGGAGATGGTGGACCGTTTCCAATCCCTGCAGGTCGCGAGCGTTGGGGTCCGGGTTGTTGACCAGAAACTCCTTGACCGTCAGCATGTTAGGTGAAGGCGTTCTTGGCGGGCCCGCGAACTGTACTTGCCAGAGCCGCGTGTCTGCGTCTGCATCTGACGGGACGCGGGGCTGACTTGGCCCCGATCAACATGTGTGTAAAACAAGACAAGTTCGCCTTCCTGTTTCCAACAGGAGGGAAAGCTAGAGGTAGCTAGAAAATGATTGTAAACTGCAAGTATAATTCTTCATGCACGCGTGGGTGCACACACCGGTTATTATTATACACACACAGTCTCTTCTACTGCCATGGTTATTCCTTCCGGAGGTCCTGCCTTCAAAGACCCAGAAGGCGCTACCCCAAGGTCGGGCCACAGCAATCAGCGCGGCTTGTCCGTTGGGGTCTTGCTCCATCCGCACCCTTTTGGTGAAGTTGCCTTTCGCCTGCGCGTCCGTCAGGCTGAAGCGCTTTGCCGGCATGGCTGCAGGCACGACTGGTTGTCTGAGCGCGGGGCACGCAGTGGCGGACACTGCTAGGCGGGGATGCTTGATCTACAGTGTTGCGCGGGCATGCCTTGTATCGTGCTAGCTTAACAGAAAAGCGGCTGCTGCGGATCGAACGCAGTAACGAAACCAATGGCACGACCCGTCAGGTAAAGTTGGGCACCAAGAAATGCACGTGAAACTGACAGCACATCATCCTGAAAGTAGAAAGAAGATGAAGCAAAATGGAATGTCTAAAATCCACTCGACGCTGCGAAAAAGTTCAGAAAAATGCATTCAGAGACATTCAGTTTCACTGACATAATCAGAATGTTCTAAGAATGATAATGATAGAATTCTTCTAACATTGATCATTTCTCTGAATCTTAGAATTAGAATCATTGATTCTGCTGACATTATAATCTCAGAATTCATCAAAAAGCTCCTCAGTGCCGCAGCCGGCAGTGCCGTTCTGCTGCGCCTTGCAAATCTTCAGCAAAATCAATTCTTGCCCATCTCCTTGGGCGAACGAAAGCAGAATTTCAGCTGATGTTTGCTGTTGAAAAGTGACCTAAACTTGTTGAGATCTTGAAATTTAGCTATGACATCAATGACATCCTATTAATTTGATGGTAACTTACAATGGTCACTTTGAATTACTATCAATGGGCCCACTTTGAAATAGATAGTCACAGTCTATGAAATATAGCTATGAAAACGTCATGGTAATGTTCCAAATAGCTATATGTAAACTACCGGAGACAACAACAAATGGATTTGTGATGTGATGCTCAAATGCCATCAGATCGGTGGTTTCAACCTATCCTGTATCATCCTGTGGTAGTCACAATCTTCAAGCAAATTGAACCCCGGGTTTATCCCCGATCTATGGCTATGTTCATAATTTTAGTTCATACTGTTTGGATGCAAATTACATTCCTACAAGCTGGGCCCGCCTGGTTATAAGTTGCTCTAAGTTGCTCTATTGACCCCATCAACTAGTTCGACCTGCCATAAACATCCACAAACCCTAGTCTTGTAGTTACAAACCAACTTAGCTAAGGGGCACCACCTTGTATCTCTAGTTTCTATGCATTGGGCTTGCTGGATTGATCATCGGCCAAACAGAAACCAGGAGATGTTTCATGTCCGAAATCATTCATGGTACCGCTATAGTTCCCATCATAAATTACTCAAAAGTCACTTTAGAGTGTAGGAAGCCATAACCATATATTTAGACGGTGTGGATTTGGAAAACACAGTCCAAGTATACATGTGTGGATTCGATAGAGAGAATATGTTTGCCCGAAACAAACAGTATGTTTTATTCACAATAAGTAATGTTTAGAGAAAGGATTAGAAAGAACCGAACCTGCAAGTTCCTACACATGTTCCTTTCCAGCATCTGGAACACTGCGGAGGAACGTTTTCATACACGCGCTGGGGCTTCTGAACCGTCAAGAAAGAATGAGCTTGATTTTGTCACTGAGAAATGGAGTTTCTATCTCAAACAGCACACGACACTTGCATATTCCTCCTGTTTGACATGTTCTATCTTCATGTCACACATTGATCATCACCCAGTACTCAAACATGGCAATCTGAAAGCCCCTATAAATGGAGGTCTTAATGGAAAAATCCTCTAAACATGAAATATGTTCCCGCCATGTGACACCATGTGACACCATTGCCTCAACCGCCACACGGGGATTGGTCATGCTACTTTGCCAATGTCCGCCAGGAGAATTGTGATCCAACTGCCAAGTTTTTGAAATCTTCATAATTTTTTCATTTGAACATAGTTGACTTATACTGGTTGGTGGTTTTAACCATCTTTAAAAATATCCAAGTCAATGGGAAGGATTATTCCATTTATTATCGGAAAAAATCTGAAACCACCAACCAGTATAACTTTAACTATTAAAGATTTTACAGAATTCCGAATATTCCCATAGGTTGGTTGGTCTTCATGTGGCTCAACCCAACTCCAAATTCGTTCCTCATGATAGTGCACACAGAGTCCACGTCGGCTGGCGGTTCGTATGATGAGCGGTCAACATCAGACCGCTTCATCCTGCTGAGCCGCGCCATAGATACGTACAGTTAAGATGTCATCAGCGGACATCCCGGGCTGGCCCCCTGTCCTCGGCGTATTTCCTCCCGTTGCGAGAATCGCTAAGCCGTATGGCTTGAAGCTCGACAAGATGATTGATTGGACCACTCGCCCGGCCTCATTCCACGGGGGGTTAGCGCGTTCAACGTCAACGGGATCACACCGGTGAAGAGGTGAGGACTTACGTCCTTTGTCATGAAGCTCGCTGCGTAATTAAAAATCCCATTGACTATATATATAGTTATATCTACCATCAACCATAGTTAAGTCACTTATCAGCATAATTTAGCTATCTTGGGGCCCCATCCTGTAACATAGATCAACTACTCAACACCGCCAAGTGTCAACATGGTGACATCCACTCCGAACGGGACGCTGATGTTGATAGCACCCCCCACATAGCCGCACCGGGTATCGCCTCAAAAAACAGACGCACGTTTTCCCGATGCCATCCATGCATGCCCTTAAACGTTCACGGGGGGCACATATATATATATATATATACATATTATATATATATATACATATTATATATATATATATATTCTATATATAATATATAATATAAATATATAATCAGTAAGCCTACAAATCGACCCGAGCCGGAATTCTGGAATCATGAGGAATTGAACCACAATGGCATCCGCACCCGACCAAGGGCAAAGCAGCTTCACCCACGCAGAGCAAACGCAACCCTTTGCGAATGCTGCCCTCATGATCAGAGAGTCCACAGGATAGAACTCTCGTCTCCAATCCGACACTTTTCAGACAAGCTAAAAAGTGATCTCTGTAGTTTTCCCCTGTCCGTGGCGGGAAAGTCTCTCGGACGCCACAGCAGGCAGCCTCAGCCACCCAATCTGCATTGATCCAATGCAAATAGACTGCGACATACGAGCGCCGCAAGCGCATTTTGGGCTTACAGCTGTCTGCGCTGATGCAGAACTTGGCTCCTCCTGCTTTGGCCTCCTGCACTTTCGTGCACACCTGTGTCCAGATACGTTCAACGCAAGCATCAACTTCCTTTTGCAATCTATCTGCATGCCCGAGCCCTGGCAATCGAGGCTCCAGCACTGCCCGAACATGTGAATCGTCTATGACGTCCACCTCTCGCAGTGCTCCAAGGACGCCAAGCCTTTTTGCGATCTTTCGCCTTGAACATGCACTGGCAAATGGTCAGCATGCTTCGAGCGTGTATGATTCTGCATACTGCTCGGCGAGTCTTTGTTGACCACACAACCTCTGAAGGCACCACTTGGTGCAAAACCAGCATCTATGAGTTGCTTCACTTGCTCCACAGACTGCACTTCCTCCTCTTGTGGGTAATATAGCTTGCAGAATCTGACGTCACCAGTGCCGATCCGCTTCGGCCAAAACAGGCTGTGAACCCATGACCGCTCAGCGGACATGCCGGGACCGACGTTGTAATTGACAATGCATTCAAAAAACAAGATTCACCATGTTTATCTGTTGGAATCAAGCTATTACCCATGGAAACATTTGATTACAAAACGCTATCTTTGACTTGGTGAACAATGTTGAATTTATTTATATGTGTGTATATATATATATTTATTTATTTATTCATGTATTTATTTATTCCCCACCTGCCAGGTGAGGGTTTTGTTAGATTTTATCAGAGTTGTTCTCCTCCTCCTCGGCTAGCTGTCCTCCTCCTCGTCCTCCTCCTCCTCATCCTCCTCCTCCTCCGCCTCCTCCTCTAGTTTCTCCTCGACCATGTCTGGATCAACTTCCACCTCCACTTCCGCCTTGCCAACTCTTCGCCAAGCTCTTTGCCAACTTCCCAGCTCAGTGTGCACCGTGGACCTCAACCTGGGACCTGCCCAGCTCAGTGTGCACCGCTGGACCTCAACCTGGGACCTGCCCAGCTCAGTGTGCACCGCTGGACCTCAACCTGGGACCTGCCCAGCTCAGTGTGCACCGCTGGACCTCAACCAGGGACCTTCCCAGCTCACTGTGCACCGCTGGACCTCAACCTGGGACCTGCCCGGCTCAGTGTGCACCGCTGGACCTCAACGGCCAGATAGAATGCCAGAAGATATGCCACATAGAATGTCAGATAGAATGCCAGAAGATATGCCAGATAAAATGCCATGAGATATGCCAAATAGAATGCCAGAAGATATGCCACAAGATATGCCAGAACATATGCCAGAAGATATGCCAGATAGAATGCCAGATAAAATGCCAGAAGATATGTCAGAATATATGCCAGAAGATATGCCAGATAGAATGCCAGATAGAATGCCAGAAGATATGTCAGAGATAATGCCCGAAAATATGCCAGATAGAATGCCAGAAGATTTGCCAGATAGAATGCCAGAAGATATGCCAGATAGAATGCCAGATAGAATGCCATATAGAATGCCAGAAGATATGTCAGATAGAATGCCAGAAGATTTGCCAGTAAGAAAATCTATAAATGTCATGGTGGGGATCGCACAAAGTAAAGTATTTGTTTTAAATTTATTTATTTATTCATTTATTTATTTATCTATTTACATGCAATATACTTAACTCGGACAAGGGGACTTCAACCCCGGAAAACCTCTGTTGGAACCTGAATGCTGCAAATTTTGGGTTGAATTATGATGATGCTCATGGAACTTACCTGTCGATGTATGGCGACCTTAAAAACCTTTAATATTTAATATCAACTGTTCAATATAAGAGCTAATTTGAACCATAGAACCGAAACCGAACCGAACCGACGTCATGCAAACCGGAAACGAACCAGATTCTGATTCATTGGCCCTGGTGCAAGCCCAACCGAACCGAACCGAAGGCTTCCTGTATAATATATACGTGTATATATATATAATATTTAGGGATGGACCGTTTTTCACCATGACTTCAATGCGATTGAACTTGCGTACGCAAAACTCATTTTTTTCAATGAAACATTCCGATTAAACCATCAAAGATGGGGAGATATTCTTGGAATAGAATATGATATTACCTAACAATATACTGGCTGCATCTGGATCTTAATTAAAACGGTTCGAGGGCCTGTAATTGAAATGACCTGATGATCTTGATTCTGAGACGTTTTAAGGTGTTGGCACTGATCATCATGTAGGCGAGTTCACATACAGTATAAGCAATGCATCCCATCTGCTGGTCACTCTCACCACTGCATGACTGGGTGATTTTGAGGGTGTATATCCTCCGGTAATTAAACATGGCAATCGGAATTCCAATGGGCGTTTAAATGGGAAAATCATCTATAAAAGGGAGATCGGAAAGCATTGCCATGTTTGACTATCAGCACCATGGAACATCTTGGGCATTGCATCCACAGCCTATATGTTCTGGTCGGTCTATCAAATGAAGACTTCTCCAACTTCACTAGACACATATGTCATCTTCTTGCTTACAGCGCAGCGGTCATTTCTTGCTTCACTTGACTGAACATAAGGTACCCCAGACATAAAATAATCTAAACGGTATGAATAATTATGAATAACACAAATTCTCTATGGTTAGTATTTTGTGAGTACTTGATACTAATCAATAAATCTATTTTATGGGAATACTTACAATTAATCTTAGGTATTCAGTGGGGGAATAAAACCAGATAACGGTATGAAAGACGCCAACTAATCCCATGTCAAAGGCTGGAGCCCACCAGTTATAAGCTGATAGAAATAACACCATTGACTATTCTAGCTCCAAGTTACCCAAATTCACAAAAAAATACCTATACCATGAATCCATCGTACTCCAGACCTGTCTCTTTGGACCCATTGTTTTCCCAACCTGTTTCCCTGTGTGTGACATGTTTCACACCTGTGAATTGACTGGTTGCGGTGGGAAGACCTTTCAGCTCAATTTGGAAATTGTTTGGCACCATGTCGATGCCTTGTGTTGTTCCTGAAATGCTATGGAGCCTGGATGAGCTAAAGCGTACCCTGATAAGTGAGTTTCCCATTTTGAAGACTGAAGAAGGAGAGGGTTTCAAAATATTGTTTGACTTGTTTGTTGACTGGGCTGAAATCCTGTTAAATTACCACAACCAGCATCGGCTCTGTTGAATTTCGGGAATTGTGGCCAATCCTTCTCTCAGGGGATTTCCGGCCGCGCATACTCATGTGGCATCGCACTCGAGGGGTGTCATCGCACCCCAGAGGACCCCATCGCACTCCACATACATACTCACAGATCTTCGTACTCCACTAAAGGCATCGTATATCAGAAAAACCGACGCATGCAGCCAAAAACCTTTTTTTTTATGAACCTGAAGATGTGTTTTTTATTGTTTTTCTCTTCGGAGGTAAAATGCTCCGGAATATGATAATATGGAATATGGGGGAAATCGTTGTTTTTCCAGCGTTTTGAAGAGTCGCGCATACAATCGTATTCCATCAAATTTTGATACTTTAGACCTGTGGAGGCTATGGAAATCCTCGGTTGTGATGTTAGTCGTGCAGGATGGAGTGTGATGCTTTGTGGGTATCTGGAATGGAATTTGTGACCCCAATTTGATCAAAAAAGATGTCAACATATGCTTGAGAATCCCACATGCAGGACTGGCAACGCATACCAGGGGGGCATCGTACTCCAGCGGTGGCATCCTGCTCAATGTAACTGTATTAAGTGGAAATATGATACCATTTGGGTTCGAGGAAGAACAGCGTAATCCAGACCTGGCCCAGCTTACGGATTTGGAAGGTGAACCGCCAGCCAAACGCGTCAAAAAACTAAGCTGAACAGCTTATCCTATGTCACTACTCCTGTTGCTTAAATCCCCATTTTGATGCAAAAAAACATCTTTAATCAATACAGTCCAGTTCGGAAAGTACCATGTTATATCCTGGTTGGTGGTTTCTGCGAAAGCCACTGAACCCTAGAAGTTTTCATGCACAAATCGAGAAGTGTAACATGCACACCGTGCTGTTGCCAGGTTGAACATTACCGCTGCGACCTGCAGCCCTTTCGATGCTCCAAGGAAAAGCATTTGGAGCGACCAGCACGGAGCTGGGAAACTGTTGGAGGGTTGAAGGATTTTTTTGGATTGAGGTTTTGGAGTTGGTTGTTTTGTGGATTTGGTTGAACATCCCCTTTTTTATCTTGGAATTTTGGGGTTGTTGTGTTGAACGTTTGATTGGAGGTTTCAAAGTTTCAACCCTACCCCTCTGAAAAATGATGGAGTGAAAGTCAGTTGGGATGATGACATTCCCAACTGAATGGAAAGTCATAAAATTCCATGGTTCCAAACCACCAACCAGTATCATAGTCACTCTCCCTATTAAATCCCAAACCAAAACACGATTGTCGCAGGTGAAATCCCCATGAAGTATCTCCACTAACCAGCCAGTACAGGATGGTGTCCCCCAGTTATGCTTGTTGGCTTATAACCACCAGATAACTAGTTCGTTATATCTACCAATCTACCACAACCCAAAGGATTCAGCCACTTATATATAAATATCTCAACTGAACGCGTTTTCGAACGGGGGTTACATCATAGTTACATCCCAAAGAATCACATCATCCAGTGATGACTTTATTCAATGGGAATTTCAGGATCCTAAATTGGAGGTACCTACCATATATAATTTTTTAGGCCTAAATTTCAGAGAATATTCCCCCAAAATATGGCCTTATATGGTACAGTACCTCCATTTTAGGATCCTGGAATTCCCATTGATTTATTAGATTACCAACTTTTATTCCCATTTTGACGGTAGTTTTTTCATCATCCAATCCCCCAAGAAAACACTGTCACTGGTGAAATCCCAATGAAAAATATCGAACACGAACCAGCCCAAAATGGGGCAAGATGGGGCAAGTACCAACTAAAAATATCCCCATCCTGTATTTTTTCTGGTTAAATTGTGTTAAACTATGTTAAATTCCTGTATTTTTCTGGTTAAATTATGTGAAAAAATCATGTTTCACCGTGCGAAAAATCGACGTGTCACTGTCCACAAACGTCACTTCCACGCCACCACTTGAGCTGCCGCCCTCCTAACGATGCCAGGTTGGCCCTTTCAGGACGGGGCCCCCGTTCGAAAACGCGTTCAGTTGAGATATAAATGTGGCTGAATTCTATGGTTTATGGTAGATGTATGGAAAAAATATAGTATTTATGGGGGTTACAAAGCAACATTCACATAACTGGGATCCGCCATCCTGTTGTGATAGTTAGAGGTGATAACATGCTATTTTTTCTGGTAGATTTGACATATAATGAGTTGACATTATGAAATCTAAAGCAAAACAGGCCAATTTGGGGTACAATTTTTGGACGACCCATGCCGCGGGTGAATTTGGCGATTGAATCAAGAAGATTGGGCTTTCATGGGATTTATAACTGATTAATATAGTATATTTACTGGTTGGTGGTTTTAACCATCTTGAAAAATATTAGTCAATGGGAAGGATTATCCCATATACTATGGAAAATCCACAAATGTTCCAAACCACCAACCTATTTACCATTGAATTTGTTTGGCAAATGCTTCTATTTCCATTCGAAACATACGGGGCATGTGGCTATACTGCAGGTCACATCGAAGGGAAGCATTTCTTGTGATCATTTCCGATGGGGATTGGATCCCTAGCCTCGAAAAAGGTGCAACAAAAAGCGCCTGTGAATTTAGAAATCAAATGCTCTCATGCCTGCTTTCTGTTCTCCCACAACGTCAATGTACACATCCCATCCCGTCATATATATATACATAAATGCCTAACATCATTCTGAAAGAGATGTAGCAGCAACGCAGGGCATGTTCGAATTACTTTGGGGCCATTGCGTCAGGCGGCACTATAGACTGCAAAGGGCGAGACACTGCTTGTCAGAAAGGTTAGGATAAAATTCATCAATGCACTGAATCACCATGAATCACCAGTACCCCACAAAATCACACAAATCATGGTCTCACAGACGCACAGGGTTTCAGGAAATTCACGAAGTCTCACGCCTTACAGTTGGTATTCACAGCTTTTCCCTCAATTTCAGGTAATTTCACACAAGGTGCAGTTGCCTCCAATCCTGAATTGATCAAAAATCACTTGAAGGTACCCCCAAATCATCCATTTTAATAGGATTTTCATGGATGTTCCATTATAAAACATCCAGCTATTGGGGATCCCCCATTTATGGAAAGCCTCCATTTATGGAAAACCCCCGTTTACTGGGGGGTAAGATAAACATATCATAAACTACAGTAATAAACAGTTGAAAAGTAACAATTTTCATCTATCTGGATAAATTATCATATTTCATTCACCCGAATTGAGGCCATTTGGGGACGATTTCCATCACTAACAGGGTTCGGTCGTTTTAATTTACCCAGATCTATGCATTGAGGGTCTTTGCACCTTCTCATTAGCATCACCCCTGGGCCCTCGCATCCTCCATGATGAAGGACAGCTCTAAGGGAGGATCACCTGAGGCACTGATGGGAAAACCAAGGGATGGCGATTGGACCCACATTGTTTTTTCATGGGATTTATCGTTGATTTGTGATTGCTAAGTTGGTTTGTAACTATGTTGACTATGATTTATGGATATTTATGGTAGCTCTATATGTATATATATATAGTTCATGGGGTATATAAGCCAGCTTATAATTGGGGAGGACCACCTTGTAGGGTCTATAGGATTTAAGTCTTTAGTTTCTATTCATGTTGACTAGTCACTTCCCCCTAAACTCAAACACGCCCAGAGACTATGATTTCATAAAAGATTTACACATATTTGGGACCATCTAGGGCTTTGTTTAACAGGGATTAATCTTCCTATTAAATTACAACCCAATAGGCCCACCATTACACACTATTTCAACATCCTTTTCCAACCTGTTCCGATCATTTTCTGTTTTTCCCGCCGGTCCAAAGGATTTCTCTAGATACTCCCTTCAACCCGTTCTATGGACCACTTCTGATGAGGAGGTTCAAAGTACAATCTTTATTGTAAGATTGATCGGCAAATTACCGGAACGCATGCTGTTATAAGATGTTATAAGTTGATAAGACATCTTTGTCTGGAAAGAACAATCTGCTTGGGTAGAATGATTCTATGGTCGTTCAAATGTCCTTTGGGTATTGCGAACCAGAAGAGCGAAGCTCCTACATGTGAGCAGTGCCCAAAATACCAAGTGCATGGTAGAGTATTGTAAAAGTTATCCTACGTGCGCAATATTGACTTTTGTTGAGGATTATGAACTGACCTTTATCACACATACTCCCGCGCCATTCAACAAGTCAGCATCATTTTTTGTGGTTGTCATGGCCATCTTCCCTTTGAGGCGGGCAAAAAGGGGCTGAAGAATCGGGCTGAGTTTCTCATCACCAGTGGTGCTTCAACAGTAACATGATAACATGGTCCAATTGTTTTTGGGGCCCAAATTTTGGGGTACCAGTTTTTTTACGGTGGCTTACTTAAAACCGTTTAAGCACACCATAGTTCGCCAAGTTATCAAGCCACTTATAGACACCTTCCTGCATGTGGCTGGTCAATCGAAAGGTTACTTTCTGAGGATCTTTGAAGATCATCCTTAGGTAATGGGATAGAAATGGGGGCCCTGCTGGGGCCCATTTTAATTTTACATCAATGTTTTTGTTGCCACCCATTAATAGGAGAAACACATGAAAAAAGGGGTGCAAATTTTGAGAAACACCCAAACTGAGATATCAATGGGATGATGTGCTGGTTGATACCATATTTGATTGTTCCATTGAATTCTTGCCCTTGAATTCCCTGCTATTAGACTATGTCAACTATTTCTCAGGTGCATCTCCATGTTTTGGAACTTGCAACCCCTATGTTCGCCTATGTTTGATGCCCCAAAAAAACAAGACGAATCAACGGCCTGACATCTCAAAAAAGGCCGAGGTGCCAGCCCAGCCAGCGTCATTCACCACATGCATGGATTGCGGCAGCAGCTGGTCGTTGGTTTGGTAATCAGTTCCAATTTTGGCCAAAACCTTGGGACTTTCGGGTTGGACGGGTTGGATGCTGTGTGTTTGACCTATCATCAATGGCCATTTTAGGAACCGATTTATTGGAGGTACCTACCATATATAAGGCTTATGTAAGGCCTATGTAAGGGAATATCCCCACACAATATATAGCCTTATATGGTACAGTACCTCCATTTTAGGATCCTGGAGATCTCCCATTGATATCATGAAAATTGAACAATCGTGGGACATCGTGGGACTATATTGGGATATCATGGGAATATCAACGTTCACCAACAATATGATATGCTGGTGGTTCTGAAATTGGGGAAGACCACCAAATCACGTATTTCATGGAAAAACATGTTCATTAACCAGTGGACAATAATTTGATAACTTTGACATACTTTAACCGTCACAGTACTTGCCTGCATGAAGGAATGAAGGACCCCCTTGCATTTATGTTTGCTGTTTTATAAACCCATCTCATCTCACTAATTAGTTCGATATCTTCATCATACTATAAATCCGACAGTTAACAGTTAGCCTATTTATAAACCAGGTTACCGCACGGCGGGCACTTGAATGGTGTATATACCTGTCTTTCGGTAGGTTATCATGATCACATCGATAATGTGATACCGGGCTCGGGTCAAAGCCGTGTACAGCAGTGCTTCTTGTGTAGCCAGTCCATGCATACTCCAGTCTCGTTGTTGGTATATACATACGTGCATTGTCGGCTGGCTGCTGAATTGCGCCTTTTTTGCATTGCGCTTCGTGGGGTCCAACACAGACTGCTAAAACCTTAGACTCCTGAGACCCAGGGGGCCGCTTCCTGTATCATTCAGAGCATTTTGGGTCGACGTCAGTACAAATATTTCCATGCACATGACGAGAACATGTTGACTGGGTGCGTCTGAAAAAGGGAAATACCACCCTTAATGGCCAATGCATAGGGATAATGATTGACCATTAAGTTTAAGTCAATCATTGCCCTCTGGTAATGACTGTTGAATAGCTATTGAAAATGGCCATTTATAGTTGATTTACCCATTAAAGATGGTGATTTTCCATAGTTATGTTAGTTTACCAGAGGGTATTTCCAAACAAACCCAAAATGGAGTGTGGGCTGTTGAAACAGAAAGCCCCACCCAACAGCGAAGAAATGGTCTCTCCCAAAGTTCTTGGTGTTTCTTATCTGGGTCTGGGGAGACTTGGGGCGCATCACTTTGGGGAATGGTTCACACCATTTTTTGTCAGTTTAAAACATCAAAAGCCAACTTGAAAACCATGAATAAACATACCAATTTGATCCAATTTGTAGGGGATCTTGGCTAAAGAAAACAATGTCAGATTTGGGGATAGACGATGGACATCTATAAACAACAGCTATTCTGAATGAACAGAAGGGTGCTAATATTGTTTTGTTTCAGATCCTTCCTGATGGGGATTATCAGCATCACATCCCCATCAAATATACCAATGGGTGCAACTATGGTGTCCTAACCCCCATAAGCTGGGATAATACTATGTTCATATCTCCACTCCGTTCACAGGAACTGAACCCCCTTTGGGATTCCTGCCATGAATTATGAAGAATCCCCCCTACAACCACCGGAACCAATTACTGCACATACAGTAAATGTGAAATCCGCCAAGTAGTAGCTGATAATGGACTTAGAGGTTATATTATATCCCATACTATAAGAGGTTATCACCTCTTCCAAGTATTAGAGGTTACAATTCCATCCCAGTACAATGTGGTGCCCCCTGTTGTAAGTTGGCTCATGTTCACCCCGTTGACTAGATCGATCTATCTTCCATAAATCCGACAGTTAGCCTAGTGATTGAATGGGGATTATCCGGAACTTAGACTTAGAGGTTTATATATATATATATATGTTTAATGCCCATTGTACAGTATACATATATATACACTGTATATACATTTTTATATGTATATAGTCATCCTGGAGTAAATAGAATATTGACAAAATCAACAAATCCTCACCACCTAAACGCTCGAATCGCAACGACTTTCACCACCGGAAGTACTGTACATAAATGGGATTTAACCCAAATAGTAGTTACCCATGGACTTAGATGCTGTGTATATATATATACATATCCATGCAAAAAAAAATACGAACTTAGATATCTTAGAGCTTATCACCTCGAGAACAAAACTGTCATATATCCTGTAAGGTAACTATAATTATAACCATAACTTATGGTTATTCTGATATAGTTATATCACAGAATATGTTTTCCTTATATAGTTATATCACAGAATATGTTTTCATATAACCATAACTATCAACATATATCGACCACCATTAATTATAGAGTATATTTCAAGTATATATCATGACTAAAACCATTCTCATGGATTTGCTCAAGGAACCACAAAACTACAGATTCCCCAAGTAGTGGATTTCCCATGGATAAAATTAAAAATCATCTTCAGCTGATATCAAATGCCCAGATGAATAGTGTTCAAAATGGTCTATTTTTCATAGATCATGGCAGGTCACTATCCATTCTATATATCATAACTATAAACTTTAATATATAGTTAAAATGACCTACCACTATATATCCACTAATATAGAATGGCACTACAAATGGATATAACCACTATATATATATATATATAGTTACTATATTCAGGATACAAACCACTAAAGAATATCTAAAACCATAAACCCATATATATATATATATAACGTTATAAAACCATATTTCTGCAATATAAACATACATACCCTCTGGTAAACTAACATAGCTATGGAAAATCACCATCTTTAATGGGTAAATCAACTATTTCTATTGCCATGTTCAATAGATATGTAACAAATTACCAGAGGGTATAAAGGTTGATTTGAAACCACTTATACTATGATTTACTAGGTATATAAGTTTCAAAGTTTCTTATATATTCATCATATAAATATATAACCATAAAATCATATATATATATATAAATGTGTAACATTATACAACCATATTTCTGTAATATAACCATACAAATATTCTTAATATCAACAGGATAGCATCCACCAGCCCTCCACACGCCGCGGACCTTCACCACCAGCAGCGGTGCATCCCCGCTGTAGATGAAAGGCTCGGCGGGCGTTCCCTTCCAGGGCCATGGGGGTCGACGCCTCGGATCTACCATGGATTTCACCATGAAAAAACGGGATTTACCTATGAAAAATGCTGATTTATAGCTGATTTACCTATTAAAAATGGTGATTTATAGCTAATTACCTATTAAAAATGATGAAACATCAACAAACTTGTTGAGGGTTAAATCCAGTCTGTGATTT